TTTTAAATGAAGTCCATACATTATGTTCTTTTGTGCCTGGCTTCTTTGACTCAACATAATTTTGAAATTCTTGTTGCTTGTACCAACAATCTATATGATTATACACACACATACACACACATATATATCTATAAAATATATGAATATTATGCCATTATATATATAATTATATAATTATATATGTATTACTGAGTAGTATTACATTGTACAGATTTACCACAATTTGCTTATCCAATCATTTGTTGATGGTCATTTCAGTTTCTGATTTTGGGCTATTACAAATAGAGCGTCCATGAACATTTGTGTGCTAGTCTGTGTTTCTATTAGCTAACCACCTAAACTCAGAGCAATGGGGTCATATGATAGTTGTATGTTTAACGTTTCAAGAAACAACCAAACGTTTTCTATTCCCACCAGCAGTGCATGAGAGTTCCAAGTTTGGTACGCTAAGTATTTTTAGATTTTAGTTTTTTCAAAGTATTGTTTTAGTTTACATTTCCTTTACATACAACTGATGATGTTGAACTTCTTTTCAGGTGCTTATTGGCATGCATGCATTTCCTAGTGTGAAATAACTTCAAATCATTGTCCATTTCCTTCCTTTGGCTTATCAGGACGATTCTCCAACCAATCGAGTTACCAGGCCAGGGCTGGCTTTTAATTTTCTTAATAGTGTCTTTCAAATAGCAAATTATTTTCTATTTTAATAATGTGCAAGTTATTAATTTTGTTTATGATTCATGCTTTGTGTTCTAAGAACTACCCAAGGCTGCAATGATATTTTATGTTTTACTCTTTTTTTTTAATCTCAGAAGAGAGAAAGAGAAGGGGATCAAACCAACCTTGGCATATTGGGACAACACTCTTAACTGAGCTACCCTACCAAGGCCTTTTCTTTTGTGTTTTCTAAAAGTTTTATAGCTTGGGATTTTACACTCAAGTTTATGACCATTTTGAGTTCATTTTTGCCTATGGCATGCAGTAGAGCTGATTTTAAATTTTGTCCACAGATATTCAGTTGATACAGTACCATTTGTTGAAAGACTTTTCCTTAATGGCATAATCAATAACATATATTATTAAAAAAAAGACTTTTCCTATTGAATTGGTTTAGCATCTTTGCCAAAAATCACTTAACCCGCTATCGTGGGTCTATTTCTGGACTCTACTTTGTTCCCTTGATCTTTATGTTTTTCTTTTCACCAATAATAAACCATCTGGATTACTCTGGCTTTTTAAGTTTTGAAATTAGGTAAGTTAAATCTTCCAATTTGTTCTCTCTCTTAAAAATTGCTTCGGTTACTCTAAGTCCTTTGCATTTCCATCAATTTCCTTAAAAAAAAAAAAAGCCTACCTATTGGCACCTAATTGGTGTTCATGAATGAATGAGTAAAGAATTAAAATAATTGCCATGGGTAACTAAAATAACATATGTCCTAGTGTTCTGAACACTTTATTGTCTAAAACCACCATGAATCTAGAGTAACTTAAGCCATTGTATAAAGTACCCAAGAACTAAAAATCTGATACCATTGGTAGGTTGTTCTGAACAACCAAGGGTGTTGAATAAAGCTACTCCTGTTTCTTTGGTTATGATTTCAAAGCAGTGAATCAGATAAGGTATGAGTTGAAGTTTAAGAGTTATTTGGAGTCACCAGGCAAATAAAGAGGAAAGGATATTCTATTCTCCTTAGGGCAGCCTGTGCAAAGGCTCTGGGGCATAGCCATACAGTTAACATACTGGTTAAATACCAGCCCTGAACATACTGTAGTTGTCTGGTTATTTGTCATCCTCAGCCACCACAGGGGGATTCCAGGCCTTTCAGCTAATCATCCCCAGCAGTGGGCACAATGATTGACACTTCGTAGGTACTAAGTAAAGATTGAAAAGAAAACTTTACTCACAAAACTCTGACAACAAATGTGTGAGTGTTTCTTTCCCCATACCAACTCTTTGGACACCAGCTGGGTGTCCCAGAATTTAATGTGTAACATTACATAGCTGGAGTTAGCAAATTGCACAGGTCAAGGGCTCAGCCCCATAAGACTACATGTAACTTCAGACATGCCCGGGACCTTAATGCTGGGTAGTCATAAGAGGTGGGTCCCCAGGTTATCCATACTTCTGTCCTACTTGAATACAAATCAGGGGTTCCCATGACCCCTTGTCAGGCTTAAGAATTCGCCATCACAGCTCACAGAGCTCAGGGGAGCCCTCCAGTGACCATCACAGGGAGACTATTGTTTAATATAAAGCTGGGGTGTTCAGCTCATTTTCACTGGGGGCCACCATCAGCCTCACAGTTGCCGTCAAAGGGCCGAAATAATTTTAGGACTGTATAAATGTAACTATTTCAACTGTTAAGGAGTTGAAATTATATCCGGCCCTTTGAAGGCAACCTCGAGGCTGATGTGTCCCCCTGGTGAAAATGAGTTGGACACCCCTACTATCAAGGATACCTATAAACCAGGAAGCTCTTTGAACCTCACTGCTTAGAGTTTTTATGGAAGTTCTCTTAGACAGACTGATTAAATTATGAGGTCATGGTCACAGGAGAGGCTGACAGTTCCAACCCTCCAATCGTATGATTTGGTTTACCTGGCAACCAGCTCCCACCTGAAACTAGGTTCACCCAGAGACACCTCATTAGCATACAGAAAATGGAATTTTATCACTCCATACATTGGCTGGGTCTTAGAAGCCCTTGTTTCAGCAACTTGGGGGCAAAGACAAAATATACAGATAATCATTGACTTAGGATGATGGGGTTACATCCCAGGAAACCCATTGTAAATCTAAAATACTAGAAGTCAAAAATGCATTTACAATCCACCTAACCTACACTACCTACTTTAGTTTTTAAAAGAGTATATTTAGAGAGAGGTGTAGGAAAGGAGAAAGGGAGAGAAACATCAATCGGTTGCCTCTTGTACGAGCCAGTATTTCTGATAAAGAATCCCCTCAGTGGCTGGGCGTTGTTTCAGCCTGTATACCATGGTCAAGTTCTCTAGTTCTCTGAGAGATTAGGTGAGATTGCAATGTCCTATAATGAATTTCTTGCAACTGTTACAGGAAAAACTCCATTCCTGATGACGCAGTATAAAGAATTACAGATCAGCAAGTTGATTAGCATGTATGCAGGGTTTATCAGTGGTACATTCTCACGGAAGGGAATGGCCTTACCAAGGTGGGGGTGAAAGGCATAGGCTTGATCAGCAAGAGCATCAGGTCCTTTATCTGGAGTTTTACCTTCCAGGTATATCTAGACTCTGCATCATTCCATCTTCACTGCTGTCCCAAAGTCCAGGCACTTCTCCCGACTCACTGAAGTGGCCTTCTGAATGGTTGCCTTGCTTCCATCTCCACAAAACAGCCAGAATGGTTGTCAGAAGTCCAGTTCCCAGAGCCAGACCCTGAGGTGGGAAGACCTGTGTGCCAGTCACCTTCCCAGGAGATTCCCAGCTTCCCAGAAGCTGCTAAGGGAGAGGGGAGGCAACAACAGGGAAGGAAACATTGCAATGATGCAAGTTCCGGTCAAGTCCTGCAGGTAATGGCTTCAGCCTGCTGCAGCAGGGGAACTCTGCAGTAAGAATTATACCCCATTGTGGTTCCAAACTGAAGTCGCAAGCAAAAAAAAAAAAAAAAAGCTACCTAGGGGAAAGTTAAATCTGAGACAGTCCGGCTCTGGGTGTCCACTTGTAAGGCAAGCAAGACCGGTGGATGCTGGTCTTGCATCTCAATCAGTCACAATTTTCCTTCTGGCCACAGACTGTTTACACTCATTCCTTTTTATATGCAAAAGACAATCAATTGCCTTCTCTCAAGCCCTCCAAATAGTTTATGCTATTTTGAGCCTCAGGCTCAAGCTGGTACACAGAATAACTGTTGGTTACTTACTGCAGGGCAGACCCACCTTCTGGGCCAGAAGAACCACAGAAGGTTCTTTATCTTTTTAACTCACACCAGTACTTGGTCCATAATGGGTACACCATATTTACTTACTGAATGGGTAATTTTATTTAATTTTCACTCTTCAACTGAATAAATCAACACTTTGAGAGGGTAAGTAAATTTCCAGAGGTTAGAGAGTAATAGTCAAATCAGGATGTTAGGTTTATTTGGCCTAAAACTCATTCTGAAAGTGCCTAACATGGCCTGTATCTCAGTGGGACTTAGAATCTGGTGGAGGAAGGTAAGATCAGGTATAACGAAACAAAGAAGCTGACAAAGGGTAAAGCTAAGGTATTGGCTGTGGGAAGGAACAGATGCAACTGACAGCTTGAAGAGGTCAAGGCCTGGTGAACGTCCAAGTGTGGGAAGGGTGGAAAGGGATAGAGCCAACAGTGATTTCCAGCCTCTGAAATAGTAGGAGACCAGGAGAATGATGAAATCGGCACATTTGGAGAGAGAGCAGGGCGTGAGAATTCAAGTTCATAAAGGAGTCAACCAGCAGGTAGGTCCAAAACCCTAGATTCAGGAATCCTGTCTCGTTCACGAACCTGAAACCTTGCCACATGGGGACAACACTCTAACCAACTGAGCTACCCCACCAGGGCCATTTATTAACTTTTAAAGGTTCTATTTAAATTACATATTCTGTAATAAGAAATATGTTCTTTTAATGAAGACAGTCTGTTAAACTGCAGTGTTCCTAGGCCAACAGGAACCTCTCAGTGAAGTTTATTTTGCCTTGAGTTACTTTTTAATGAGACTAGACTCCTCCCAATACCAAAAGCAAGAGTTACATAATTTCTTTGTGACACCCCAAAGTTGTTAGCACTCTGCTTTGCATATTGAAGGTATTATTTGAAAATATACTTTTTTGATATATTACTTGTGGTATATTAATGGGTCATTAAATCATTAGTAAACCATAGCTTTTGTTTTTTAAAATATGACTAAAAAATTTTTACCCCCAAAGGCAGCAGCTTCCTTTTTCCTCTTCCCCTCCTTAAACTCTTCCATTAAATACCAAAAAAAGAAATACTGATTTATAGAGTGTCTGAGCCCTGGCCGGGTAGTTCAATTGGTTACAGCCGAGGTTGTGGTTTTGATCCTGGTCAGGGCACATAAAAGGATCACCCAATGGAAGCATGGAAGAGTGGAACCACTATTCCATCTTTCTCTCTCCCTTCTCTCTCTCTTTCAAATCAATAATAAAAAATAAAATAATAGTTAAAAATAAAGTGTCGAGTTGAATCTCTGCAGGGGAAGGAGGACCGCGTTCAGCGATGTTTCTAAGAAATCAGCTGTGACCCCAGCATGCAGAAGTTACCAGTCGGAGGGCTGGGGGCTGCAAGTTTTCCTGGGAGTTCAGATGCACTGAACCAGCTTTACCCATGCCAGGGTACGCCCGAGGCCCCTGTGGATTGTCTCCTGCACCTGAGCGGCCGCTGAGTGGCCTGCGGGCTCGCGCTCCTCCTGATCACTGCGCTGGCCCGGACGGTTTCCAACTCCCGCCGCGCTCGGGGAGAGCCACGCCCCCGGGTAGCCACGCCCCCAACAGCCGCCGGAGCCACCGCCCCGCTCGCGGCCAGCTTCTGATCAACAGTCCGGCCACGCGCCCCTGCTGCCGTTAAGAGACCCAAAACCGATGCCTTGCAGCTGGGCTCTCGGAGGGAATGGGCGGAGGACTAGAGCGCCTCGCGGAGGAACTGGCCGCGCAGGTGAAGACGCTGGCAGGTAACGCCAGGTATCCAGACTGCGCGTGCGCGGCCGGCTGGGCGGGGCCAGGAGTTACTGGCGGCTGCGGCTCAGCTCCCTCCGCCTGCGGTCCACGCCCCGCGGTGCTACCAGGTTGTGCTGCTTTCCTACCCGAGGGACAGGCATCGCCTCATGCCCGGGACCTTAACGCTGGGTAGCTGGAGGACAGTTTTGGGATTCGAGGTAGGCCCATTTTGGCATCTCTGGGCCACATATTAAATACATAAATACTAACGAAAACTGATGAGCAAAGAAAAGGTTTTAAGCAAATTTCGGATTTTGCGTTGGGATGCATTCATAGCCATCCAGGGGTTGGACACCCCTGACTGTAGAGAATAACTCGGAAAGCCTACATTTTAGACCAAGCTGTTGATAGAGACAGGCATGCTTTAGAGAACCAAAATTTAACTGCACGTTCATCCGCGCACTGGATAGATGTTGGAGCCTCTCTAGCTTGTTACGTGGGCCACGTTTTTCCCCTCGAAATTTCATTTTGAGCATGTGTGAAAGAGTAATTGTAAGCAATTTGAATGAAGTTAAGGGCTTTAATGGAACAATCCAACTGGTAAGATTGTTCAGTTTGTGTCAAAGTAAATGAGTGGGAAAAAGAAAGAATGGTACCTTAGGGAGGGGTTGTGCAGTGCTGAGTTTGGCATTGTGCAGTTATGTAGGTTTCCTGAGCTGCTGGCTGTTTGTCTGAAACAACACTTAACTGAATCAATTCTGTGGGTTAAATGGTTACATGGAAAGAGAACACAGAAGGCCGACTTTCTCCCTTCCCCAATGACCTAGGCAACTGTTTCAACCAGGCTCCTTTTTATAACTGATATTTTGTATTTACAGCCAGGTGGTTACTGATTCCTGGAACCTGAAGGATACATCTACATTTTTGTTTCAGTGAAACTTGGGGAGACAAAATGGAACAGAACAACAGAGAGGTAATTGCTGCCCTTCCTAACACAATCACATGACTCTTGAGAGTTATTCAGTCGATTTTAGGTATATTGGGTTTATAAAATATTACAATTACACGTTTAAAACTTTTTAAAAAATAGGCTACAAGGAAGTTGCACTTTTATTTCTCTTGGACAGAAGTGCCTTTGGGACTCTCCTCCTTTGTGGCATTGGTATTTTAGGATCAGCTATTGGGGATTCATCATAATTCCTTTTTCCAAATGAGGTTTTGTTAAGGAAACATTCTGACAAAATGATGAGGGCTATTGCCATAAGAGCATTGGAGTTAGGGGTGAGATTCGGCTCAATTCCATAAACGGCAAAGATTAATGGCTTTATAGCCTATGAGCAGAGTGGGGGAGGGGTCAGTGGATGGGAAAGAAAGGAGACATCAAGGGTGTGGGGATTCTTGCTAAGGATTTGCAGATTTAACGAGAGGATTCTTGTTGGAGGCAGGCCAAGGTGATCAGAGATCAAGGGTGGGAGATAAAGAAATTGATCAGAGACAGAGTTCTATGTGTGTCAAGGGTAGGGGATCTCTCCAAACTGACCTAGTAGGAATCGTGTGGTACAACTGGGCTAGGCAGGCCCAAGACAGGACCAGGTCCAGGCTCGGCCCTAGTCAGACGTGGTCACAAAGGAACCTGACTTCACTTTGGTCATAACTTAGCGGTAATCAGTTTCCAGCCTCCTGCCTGCCTGGATGGCAGGCTTTGGAAGTTTCTAACATCCCCTTTTGTCTGGGAGTTTTTAATGGTTTTATCAAACGCATTCCTGAGAATTTTCCGTCCAGTGGCCTCTGAGCTACAGAAAGCGAGATTCTTAAGGAGAGAGAAGATGCAGACGAACTGTGGAGGAAATCTAATGCTTTTAGAACGGAAGAGGCTGGGCTGCTGTGCCCAGGGGGACCCTTCCCTCTGTCCCATTCCTCCACCAACAAACTCTCCATCACTTTAAATCACTTTAAACTTAAAAAAAAAACCCAACAGAGGTGGTTGAAGGGCCAACTTGTTCTGCCAATTGAGGAAAATAAAGCTGTTTTTTTTTCCCCTATGGTTAGGACACTTTTTGTTTGTAAACTTTCAGGGCAACAGTGCGGCAGATGGCAATTTTGACCTTCCCACCAAGAAGACAATTAATTTCTTCCCCCCGTTGTACAGACAGCGTTACAGCTTCGTTAATGACCTGGTGAATCGACATAAACCCAAGAAGGTAGGTGTTTGTTTCCAAACATTTCATTATAACTGTCTTATAAAACGTCTTGTCAATGATAGAAGTCTTGGTTAGTAAGTAAGCAGAGAACTATTCAAAAAGATTATTACGAAAAAAAAAGGGTTATTGCAAGAAGAAAAAGATTATAGAAAGAAAACTAAGCTGGGAAGAGCTGGGTGAGGGAAGTGTAGTAAAATTTTGGATAATGTGATGTTAAACAGGATTTATCCCTGCAACCCCAAGGCTTAGAATGTCTCAAGATTACTTTCCTTTTGTGTACTTTTTCTGCCAAAACGACCCTTCCATATAATGTATTGTGGTTTCATTTTTTGATACCCATTCCCTATATAGAAGTCTTTGATCACATTTGACCTGGCTATAAACGCCCTTTTTGAAATAACATGCCGTCTCATCTACAGGTGGCAGACTTGGGGTGTGGTAACGCTTTGCTCATACAGATGATTAAATCACACAGTTGTCTTGAACTGATTGTTGGAGTAGATATCAATGAAGACAAAATAGGATCCCAGAGGTAATGCCTAGTTCCTAGAAGCGTTGTATATTCATCTAAAACCGGTGGCACTATTAAATACGCAACGGATGAAGAACGTTAAACGTTAAAATGTGTTGTACATGACACACTAAGGGAACCTCAGTCCCACTGAATAGAGACCATGCCATAATATTAATCAAGTGGGTACATTGTGAGTAACAGCTGTTTTCCACCAGTGTAGAAAGGATAGCCTCAATTAAGTCATTGCAGTAGCCAAAGCATTGCAGATTCCATTTCAAATGGCAACAATGTAATTACTTGAGTGCTGGGCGCATGATGACAGCGGAGCCGCAGGCTGCTACCTCTGTGATCTGCGACGGCAGCTCTCCAGTCTCCTGCGTGCATCAGGTGTACCCAGGTAGTTGCAAGGGTGTTCTTCTTTGGAGGAACAAGAAATCGTAGATCACTAATCCAAAGTGAGCTGGGAGACCAAAAGTATTAGAAGTGAGAGCCATATCAAATATGCAGAGTCTGATTCTTACTGTCCAGTTCCTCCCCCATGAGAGGAAGCTACTCTGTGAGCTGGCACTTAATTCGTGGTGGACAGTGGGCCCCGTGGGGAACAGCGTTGTGGGCAGAAGGTGGTTTTTAGCACTGGGGCTGGGGTCACCCTAAGTAAGCAGTTTGCGTTTGAACGTCCTCACTTCTCCAACCACGCTTTTGCAGGTGTAAATTGTCTCCGTTCTCCGGGGATTACCTGTGTCCCCGGGATCTGAACTTGTCTATCATCCTGTATCACGGCTCCGCTGTGGAGAAAGACTCTCGTTTGCGTGGATTTGACTTAGTGACGTGTATCGAGTTGTACGTATGAAAACGAATTCCTCCCGTAAAAATTCATTAGAAAAATCTCAACTGAGTTAATTTTCGTAATCTTGGCATCCTAAATGCGATCCCAATTTTTATCTGTAAAGAAAATTGCTGGCCAGTCGGGACTGGTTTTTTACCATTCTGTCCCGAAATAAGCGAAGGGAAGGATGAGCCTCTTTTAGGTCACTGTTACCTCTTCAAAGAAGGGATCGATCGGTGTAGAGGGAGAAACTGTTTTTCTGCGTTACTTAGGGAAATATTGCAGGGGCATCTAGGTTTGACGATCTCCTTCCCACTGACCATTTCAGAATAGAGCACCTGGACTCACAAGACCTGGCCAGGTTTCCCAAAGTCGTGTTCGGGTACTTGTCCCCAGCCATGGTCGTCATCAGCACACCCAACTCCGACTTCAACCCCCTGTTCCCAGTCGTGACCTTAAGAGACTCAGATCACAAATTTGAGTGGAACAGGGAGCAGTTTCAGACCTGGTGAGTTTGCGCGTGTTTTGGTGTTTTGGGGAGGCCACTGAGGTTTAAAGTCCTGTGAGGCAGATCCTTATCCATACACGAGTGAAACCATTTCTTCCTGTAGAACTGATTTCCATTTAGCACATAAATGGGGAAGATTGTTCTGTTAGGTCTCAGGCGGGCGGGGAGAGGGTGTGCGGGCCCCAGGTGTGATGGCGTCAGGAGTGTGGGTGTCCAGACGAGCGGACAAATGTAAGGGAAGGTGGGGGGCTGAGTGTGTCCCCGGCTCAGGGGCCTCTCCCGAGGGCTTGACCTGTTTGTGCCGTAAATCCAAACCGGGAGTATAGCCCTCGTGGTGTCCTTCTTCACCCCCGGCCACAACTCTGCATCTCTCCTTTTCTCCACGTTCTTGGGGTTCATTAATCTCGCAGTCACTGCCATCATGCCCCTCTGAGAAGTAAGCAAACCCACGAGGTGGCGTCCTGTGGTGCTGTAAGGATTTGTCACTGAGAAGTAATTTTGTTTGTTGTACTTTCACATTCTAGTCTACCGGAAATTGCTGTCTGTTTAACATTAGCTCTAAGTTTAGGTAAAAAGGTCTCCTTATTTGGATTTCAGGGCCTCGGGTGTGGCCAACTTCTACAATTACTCTGTGGAGTTTACCGGCGTGGGGGAGCCCCCCGAAGGAGCTGGGAATGTCGGCTACTGCACCCAGATAGGGGTCTTCCGGAAAATGGGGGCCCCGGCGACCTCCCAGTGTGCTGCAGAGCCCTGTGGTGAACACGTGTATAAAGTGGTGAGTACTCTTCGTGAGGTAGCTGTTGGGAACAGAAAGACACTTGCTAGGAGGGTGACCTTATCAAGCGTCCCCGCCATCGAGATTCAGTAGTGACTTTGTTATGAGGCTGACCCTGGGACAAGCCTGCATGCCCCTCGGCTGTCAGAGGTCCACCGTGGCCTTGAGACTGCCTGGCCTTCTGCCAGCAAGGAGGGCCAGCAGCCCCCCTTTGTCAGGCGGTAGGGTGGTCAGCAGGGGAAGGGAAGCCAAGGCCAGCAGCGGTTTCACAGCTGGGCTCATGGAGGCACCACGGACTGAGCTGCCGAGCGTTTCAGACCCTTTGGGTTTCAGGAGGCACGGCAAAGAACTCATGTCTTTCCCTTTTTATTTATTTTTAAAGATTTTATTTATTTATCTTTAGAAGTTAAGGGAAGGAGAGAGGGAGAGAAATATCAGTGTATGGTTGCCTCTCGTGCGTCCTCTGCTGGGAACTGGCCTGCAACCCAGGCATGTGCCCTGACTGGGAATCAAACCGTGATTCTTTGGTTTGCAGGCCCGCACTCAATCCACTGAGCTACACCAGCCAGGGCACGCCTTTCCCTTTTATTTTATTTTTAAATTTAATTTAATTGTCGTTCACGTACAGTTTTCTTTTACCCCCATCCCAGCCCACCACCCCAGTGCTCCCCACCTCCCTCCCATTTCCACCCCCCTTAGTTGTTGTCCGTGTGTCTTTTATACTAGTTCCTGTAAATCCTTCTCTATGCCTTTCCCTTTTAATGAGCAACTGTCACCCTGTGTATCAGTGGTGTGCGACCCCCCCCCCCTTAACAATGTGGCACTTAACGATGCATAGGGTTTGACCTTGGCACCTACTGTTAATGCTTCATGTGGTACAAAGTTACTATCAATAGTCTGGCAAAGTTTCCTATATCCTAAGTGGCTTTCCCTCCCCCTTTCAGGTTTACTCAGTGTCATACCCGAGTTTACAGCAAAAGGAAGTGCGCAAACTCGCGTTAGCCAACGAGGTGTCTCGGCAAGTCCAGAGCATGAGACAGAGCTACCTCTCGGGCCTGAGCGAGTCACAGAACGGCCACAGACAGGGCCCGCAGACCAAGGGCAATGGGCTGGTCGCGTTTTCTGGACCGAGCTTCACGGAGCTGGAGAAACGCAACATTGAGAAGGCCCCCAAGCCCTTCTGCTGCGGGAGTAAGTTTTACGTGCCGCTGGAAAGGCTCCTCGCGTATCCCAAGGTGAACCGCCTGTGTGATGACCCAGACGCCCTGAGGGCGCTCCTTCAGGGCACGGTAAGGCTGAGCAGGGATGGCTCCGCCGTGACCGTCGACCTGCACGATGACAGTCAGTGAGCCTCCTGTCCCCAGCCTCTCGGCCGAGGCAATTGATGGGACCACTGAGAACTTTTTGTGTAGTCCTAATTCAAGCAACTTTTACATTTTTTAAAATCTATTGATTTGAGAGAGAGAGAGAGAGAAAGAGAGAGAGAGAAGAAACACATTGATTTGCTGTTCTACTTATTGATGCATTGTCAAGTCTCGTATGTGTCTTGACCGGGGATCAAACCCACCACCTTGGTGTATTGGGATGAGGCTTTAACCAACTCATCTGCCTGGCCAGGGCAACTGTTAATTTTGAAATCACTTAACTGGGTCTTTCTTTCTTGTTTTTTCAGTAGGCTTATTTTGTTTGAGGGTGTGTGAAGAGAGCTCCTGATATGTTTTGTTGTTGTTGTTATTGTTGTTGGAGCTGTGTGTTGCCATTAAAAAACCAGAAAGGAAATTAGTGTCTGAAACTTTTTCCCAGGCGATACAGGTCGCTCTAAAACCTCTCCAGGATTCCGCGCCTCCTCTGGGCTAAATTCCGACGTGTAATTCATAGCCCGAAACATCGTGCAAAGTGGGAACGTGGGTGATGGAAGGACACGGGAGCATCGTGATACACACTGCCCACAGTTTTCCAACACTGTCTCCGGCAGCTGGCTGGTCGGGGCTGGGAGATGGTGGCCGTGGAGGAGGGAGGAGCGCATGCTGCTCCGCGTAGTGCAGGACGCAGCGCCTTCGGTGAGCACGCGGTCTCTTGAGGCCTGGGAGGGCGGCAGCGAGCTGACCGGCAGGACAGCTCTGCCGCCCCAGGGACTGACCAGTGTGTCCTGCTCTTCTGCTCCCCTTGGCGCACTCCTCAGGGACAGACAGACGCATGAGCCACCTCTGGCGTATGCCACCCCGGGGCAGAAAGGGAAATGGAGGAAGAAAAGGGGCCCCGGGCATCTGCCAGCTGTCCAGTGAGGTTTACTGATTGTTACATGCAGCTGCTTGCTTCTTCACCAGTTTGTCTCTTAAAACATAAGAGAGGCTGGGGGTTGTGACCACTGAATGGTCTTCTGCCACGGAATGGGGAGCAAAAGGACATTGTGGCCACTTCCCAGTAAGTAGAAGGCAAGTGCATTTGAAGGGGAAAAGCGACCCCGGAAGGGAGACCAGCTGGCATTCAATGGCCAGCTGTTCCGTCCTTAAATTGCACAGGCTGCTGTCTCACACACCTGTCCCCCACTCACGCTTGGTCCACACGCCGATTTTTCCTCCCGCGTGCACACGGTCCAGTGGGTATGTTTTGCCGCCCTACTCCCCCGTCACCCCCAGGCCCTCTTGTCTGTCTGCCCTTTGCTTTCCTAAGCCTCTGCACAGCCTTCGCCCACGACTTTCTTCCCACCATTGACCTTCTGTGTCGGAGCCGCGGTGATGTAACAGCGCATGCATCCACGGACTTAACCTTCAACTGACAAAAGCAACACTGCGCAAATGGGACAGTACGGGACCACATGGGGTTTAGAGCGGCGGCACACCCTCCCACACCACGTTGAATTCTCTGCCTCAAATCCGGTCTTAAAGGCAGCAGCCCCGCCTGCCTACGTACTCCTAGGCATTCCAGTGGGTAAATGCCTACTTTCCGATGCCAGTGAGACAACTATCCGGGTTTTCTTACGTCTCTTCCCAATGAACCAGAAGGAGATTCCAGTTTTGCAAGAACCAAAGGCCTTTTTTTCTAGGAAAACCACTGGAACGGGTCACATGGTTTTGTAAATATCAAGCAGAGGCCTCAAGAAGAGAAACCTAAGGTGTCTCGGCCCCAAGGAATTAAGCTGTACTGTGCAGCAGTGGAACGAGCTTCCACGCGACATGGTTAGTGACCTGCACGTTTTTCTTGGAGGGAAGGTTTTCCCCACACCACCACCACGGGCCGCCCCACCCAGGAGGTATGAAGTGTGTTCCTTGGAACATTCCTTGAGATCTGAGTTAAGACCTGCTTTCAATTCCTGTTTCCATAATCTGGGCAACTCCAAAACCCTCTTAGCGACTTCCACGATTTCTTAGGGGCTGAGGTGCTCCCAGACACACGGTCTCCAGGCTGAGATGTGACCCTGCCCAGCAGTGTCTCTGCGAGGCTTGCTCCTCCCCACTTCCTTTTTTAAAAAATATATATTTTATTGATTATGCTATTACAGTTGTCCCATTTTCCCCCTTCATTCCCCTCCACCCTGCACACCCCCTCACCTATATTCCCCCACTGTAGTTCATGTCCATGTGTCATAAGTTCTTTAGCTTCTACATTTCCCACACTATTCTTGCCTTCCCCCCATCTCTCTCTGTCTCTTTCATTTCCAATCTTTCCATCTATGCCATACTCAGCAGTTAAGTTCTCTTTCAAGTATTGCTCTCAGCCCTCAGGGGGTCTCATTTTTGTGAGTGACCAGCAGGGGATAATTCCAAACAGTACTTCGCCCAACTGGAGTTTGGATGGCAACAAAATCACACTGTTTGACCTGCAGCTGTGGAGGGTGCTGTGGGCCAGCTGCTGGCAGTCCAGGGAGTGAGCCGCAATCGCAGCCGCAGGAGGCAATCCCGATCGCGCTTTATCTGGGATGCTAGGTGTCAAACGGTAGCTAACACGGTTCACCTCCTGCGTGATGCACACCCTTGGGGACATCCTGAGGCAGGGGATGAGAATGGCCGAGATCCAACAAGCTGGCAGGAGTTGGAACTCACAGATGTGCATGATGTTCATTTCATCTTGCAGCAAGCTTCTGAAGCCGACGGCACACCAGGCATGCACCTGTCTTTTGAGAATTAACTCAGTGCCCTCCTCATGCTCCCGTTGAATTGTGTGTACTCTGCCTGCCCTGCTGCCCTCCTCTGCCAGTCCATCCATCCGTCTGCTGTGGCCCGAGCTGGGATCAGTCCAACGAAGCTCCGTGATTGCACTGTCTTTCCTACAAACACTGTGTTGCTCTCTACTTCCACACCTCGTCCTCGAGTCGAGGTTCTTTGCTCCCGCCTAATCGGCTGGTTTTCCGCTGCTGTGTCTCTGTCCGGCCTTGGTCCTCTGTCTGGGAACCCAGGACTTCCTAGTGCGAATCCTCATGGAACTGAATTTACAGCATCTTTCACTAATCCCAGACTAAAGGGAAACAGTTTCATCCTGTTTAAGCAAAGTATGGGACGTTGCCAAATCTTTTTGCAAGTGTTTCAAGTCACTAAAAATACTGAAAAAGTTCTTTCCCTTTGGTCGTAACAACTCGGACTGTGGGGAAGGAGGGGCGGACACAGGAACACGTGGGAGAGGAATGTTGGAACCCAGTCACTGAAGTTCAATGCCAGAAGGTGGCACACTTTTCTCACTTCAAGCAAATGCATTCTTTTGCTTTGAGGACTCCCTAAGATGAATGGGGAAAAACACCCCCCAAAAACCTTAGTCATGCCAACTTCTATAGAGGTTTGAAGGTTTTGCAACACGGGGAAGTCACTGCTGAAATGACTTAAACGTCTAGTGGTGAATTCAGTTTTACAGAGAAAAGGGTTCAGGAGGCATCTTGACCTACCTGAGCCATAACCGCACAGGGGTGGGGTCTAACTAAACTTGTCCAGCAAGGTCAGACATTTCTTCCTCCCGCGGGCCCATCTGGAGTAGAGGTCACCAACTCATGGAATGTCTAAACGCAGGCCTTTCCTGTTTTGTATCTTGTGTCATGTGGGACGGCTTCACTCCACCAGAGATTTCCTATCATGCAAATGGAAAGATTGTATTTCCTTTTATGTGCCGCTACCAGGTATGAGATACACAGAAAGGGAGAGGTAAATTAAGGTGAAAGAGAGGGGAGGGTCGGGGGAGGACGGGACAGAAAACACTGGGTGTTGAGTCAGAACAAGACGGGGACCAGCGGGCCCGACCACGGGGCTGCCAGGCCCTGCCGTGGTGGCGCCAGTCATCCCGGGTGGTGCTGTGTGATCCTGTGTGCTGGGGAGGCGACTGGAGGGTTTTCCTGGAGTGCCCAAACCCCACTCCGCTTCTGCTCCGCTGCCAGCAAGCAGGGAGGTCTCTCCTTCACTCACGCCATCTTCCATGACCACGCTGTCCAGGGAAGCTGGGACAGTCTGCAGAGAAACCTGTGCAACCAGCCTCTCCCGAACCTCAGTTCTTTGTTCCCTTTCAGTCGCCATCATAATTGGGCATCAGCAGAGAGAACGCCTTGGCAGTGCCCTTCCTTTGGGAGGTCAGTCTCATCATGGGAAAGCGCTGCGTACAGGGCATGGTGACGGCCTCGTTTCAGAGGTGACCTTCACCTCCCACAGTGGCATGCTCCTGACGATTTTCTGTGGCTCCAATGAAGACACATGTGTAGATGGACACAAGGGCCAGTCTCTGGCTTTTGATAAAACACCGAGTGCTTACCCAGTGGCATGTGCTTAACATCTTACCACCCGGAAGAGTTAGTGGTATTATCTACATCCCAGGTCAGAAAACAGGTTCAGAGGGGGGTCTGAAGGCAGACGCAGGCCTCTCGTTCTGAAGGGCAGGACCAATCGGGGTGCAGAGAAATGTCCTTCCCTGGGAAACCCTGGGGGACGCGACCCCGGTCCTTTTCGCTGCTGCTTTCTTTCCTCGGCAGGTACCACTCTCACCTGAACTTCCAAAGTAGAAACAACACTCTAAACTTTAAGATTTTTTATTGATCATGTATAAGCTTCACCTTGACATTTATTACAAATACTTTACAATAAAAAATTAGTTTTTGTAAAAAAAAAAAAAGAAAGAAAAACACTTCCTGGATTTATAGTTGTGCAGGTAAAACAAAGAAATATATGAAAATGAAGGTCATTCTCCAAGTATCAGGATACTAATGGAATCACTTCAATAACAATTTTTTTCCATAAACATTTACGCGACTACTCACAGCTGTATCAACGTCCACAAGAATAAATGCATAGGACAAGGGCAATTCCCCAATAAGATATATTTCCAAAAAATATAATCGAACTGAATGTACCTTAAATGTCTTTCTCTGCAAGGGATTTGGTCAATGAGTATCAGCGAGAGAGTTTTCTTACATATACAGGATGAACATAAACATTTGTAAATGCAGAACATATAGCCTGCGTAAATTAAAACATCTGTCAGCTTTATTGTAGAGAGGAGTAGCTAGCAATCGCTACACAACCATTTAAAATACACGGTGTGTGTGCACAGTGGGATGAAAGAAGGTTTACAGTTGTGATTCTGCAAAACATGAGTTTCTTCTTAGATTATTATTATTGTATTATTTTCCATATGAACTGTAAACCTACTTTTGCTCCCCCCTGTATATTATCATATGAAAAGTCACATATATAAGGGAATAATAAGGCCTGATTTCCAGGGCAGTCTTAAAACAGGGTTAATAGAGGCCTACTTCATCCTTTACATTTATTTTTATTCTCTAACATCTCAGCTATTAAAAATTATGCACAGTACCTAAGCCAACACATCGATAGCGGCAAAACACAACAGCAACTACAGTACCTGATTATAGTCACGTGAGGAACCGGGGAGACGAACTGACCAAGTGGAGTTTCTGAGCCGCCCCAGTTAGAGACCTGCCAGAATAAAGCACAGCCCGTCAAATGAGCCTGGGCTCTCCAGAGCATCATTATATATCCTGGAAGCCTGACTCTTCCGAGTGCTTCCATAGCATGTCGAAGCATCCTGCCAGCTGGAGCTTGCCAAGTGATCATCAGCATGGAAATCTTAAAGCCTGGAGTTATGTCTGGGTGTTTTAATTTACTAGAAGTTGTTGCTACCTGACTGTGTTCCGACTGGAGACTAGTAGATACTTTAAGATTCTTGGTCTAGACTTGGTCTGATTATAAATACTCATCCAAGTCAGCTATTTGTGTAGAGAGCCTTCTTACCGCCACCAAGGGGAGTCAACCATCCAAGTGTGAAGTGACGGCCCAGGGCCTGCTCCGTCCCCAGCCACCCTTCTCATCCCCTCTGGTCTCGGTCACCAGCACAAGTCACAGGAAGTGGCCTCGGGGCCCGCTTCTTCTGAAATTCCCCCAAACGAGGCATTTAAGACTCTTATCACAAATACTAGCTTTAAAATACCACTAATCTTTTCTTCTCTGGCACAGGGTCAGAAAATGTTGCACATCTGCAAATTCCCCAAAGGCTGGGGATCTGAAATTGGAGCTCAAGATTGAGAAATCGATGTATTAAGATCTACGTTTTCAAAGTCCATTTGCTACACTCAAAATGAAACCAAAAGGGGACTTGGTATTGAATAAGCAGATTTTTTTTTCTGCAATAGCTACATGGTTAAGATATTAACAGTACATGCTCTAAGGAAAAGAAAAACTTGGAAGTAAGGCAGCCGCACAGGCAGCCTTGAACACATATTTCTAAGGGCTGTGATGAATGAAACGTGGCTGCAAAGCATGCTGATGGAACATGAACTAGACCAAACCGAGTCCAGACTTCCCTGGCTACAGAGGAATGCTCCCTCTTTTCTTCCTAGAGTTACTACTTATTAAAATGTTTGTTACCTTGACTCCTACACAGATCAAGATGTTACCCAGTGGCTGCTGAATGTCTAAAGGCATGATTTTTATGCTTTTCGAAAATCTGCATTTTGGGTTTAAAAAACAATGCTGTATCATTTTTAAATACTGAGAGCCAGTTTTGTGTAAAGGTACTGGCCAAGGGCAGCCAAGGGCAAGCCAGAGGGCCAGTGCCCGGGTCACAGTGTCCTCACTGAACTCGCCTACAGTCTGGACATTAGTGATCATTCAAGACTGTATAAGCATTTGCAGAAGCGCCAATAAGAAATATAGCCTAGAAATAATATTTCAAAAATAGAAAAATAGGTTCTTAAAACATGTTATAATACTAAATCTCTTTCTAGACAGTATCATCATATCTGTTGAAAACTTTCTTTGATTTTTTCCTATAATACACAATGAATGAATCATTCACTTGTTTACTCCAAGACAGCGAGTCTCTATCACTTGAGACGTTTTTCTTGGCTAAACTTAAATCTTTGGGTCAGTTCTTTTTTTTTCTTTCAACATGAATCACAAAAAAGAAAGTTGGATGGCTCAGAAAACCTTGTCTCTTGACATTCAAAATATTCTACATGGGGATGTCATCTCTTAAAATCTCAGAATCTACTTGTAAAAGTTGTTTTGGGTTCATTTGGAATACCCAATCCTTAAAATATTTTTAAAAAAAAGAAAAGAAAACCCCCAAAGTCCTTACATGAACTATTTAAATGTTCGCCAACTTCTCAATTTGGATATTAAAATACTGTTTTCTTAAAAATAACATTTTTGCCTTATGCAAAAGCAGTAACATTTTTGCCAACATGAAAATACCTAGACCAAAGTAATTCTAACACATCACGTTACTCGGACGTGGTTTTGAAAGTAAAAACTGGGAATTTCTGATTTTACAGAATCTACATTTTTCTTCACTAAGTGATTCCAAGATCCTAATTTTAGGATCTTTCCACACAGAAACTGCCACATAAAACCAGAAAAACTCTTCAGGATTTGTCTGCTGTGCTGATAAGATTCCCTTACTTTAAAAGCTCTGTTTGATGTATGTTATAGTCTATTCTTGCCTCAAAACAACCGATTTTTGATGCAGTAAGAAGAAAGCTTAGAATGTGCTCACAGGGAGGGGGAGGGGCTAAAGAAAGAAGAGCACGGGTGCAGGTGAAGCGGCTGTTCCCTGCGTTATCCACCCCCTCCTGGGAATCGTTTTCAATTTCAGGAACCTAAGTGTGAACTCGCAGAGAAAAGGCTGCTCTGTTTCTCATTGTATCACTGCTTCCCTCCAGTTGTTCTAAACGCTGACTCCTGAAACCCACAGACATCATTTGGTTAGTTAAGTCAGTGCTGATATCAGAGCGCCTCACACCAAACACTGCTGAACTTCTCCCGAATTGCTTACACTGTGCCGGTGGGGATTCTGCAGCTCATTTAATATGAACGAGGAACAATACATACTGCCTAACAGTGGCCTAATACCCACTCATTATCTCAGACTTAAATACACTTGTTACTCAATGGATACATTTAGATTAAGCAAGCATTTTACATGTCTCAATTGCAGTATAACTTTTTCTCAAAGCAGGAACACCCACACTTTTATATCAATTACTGTATTAAAAGGAGTTAATGAACTTAGTACAATACTGTAGGTAGCACAATATGGATTTCTTTAACTGGAATCATAACTATCTTGACAGAGTTTATCGGGTTTCCGTCTTCGCTTATTGTCTCTCAAACACACAGTGAAGAAATCAGAGCCCAGACCGCGGAGCACCTTGATCGCGGGTTTTGAACGTCAGCAGCAAAACCAGACGCCGGGCGGGGAGTGCGGCTCTCCCCACCGGGAAGCTCTGAAACGACAAGCAGTCTTTCAGGTGCCACGTGCCATGACCGTGGAAGCCGTGGAGCTCTAAACACGCAGGCCGTGCGGCCTCGCTCCCACCGCTCCAACGTCACCTCAGAGGGGGAAGGACCATGGAGGGCCCTCGCAGAGAAGGAACCACTGCTGGCTCTCCTCTGGGCAGGTGGACAGGCTCCCTTTTCAAAGAGGTTCGTGTTCTCAGACGTGCCTGAGTCAGTGCCTTGTCGGCTCAGCAGCCTGCATCCCTGACCCCCAGGGAGGCTCCCGACCTGGCTCAGCTTCTAGCGCTTGATCACAACTTGTTCATAAGCTCCAGACGCCACCCTAGAGCAGCAGGAGGGGAAAACACAACTTTAACTGAATTTTCAGCAGTAGTGACGGAAACTATTTGTTAACCTGGGCTCCAAAGACAGAGTACACGAGGCCTTTTCTACTAGATTTGAGTTCCTCAGGGTTTGAAGATATCACAGAGAGAAAATACTTGAATGCAAACTGTTTATAATTAATACACTGGATTAGTCCAGTCCCCGATCCTCTCAGACTTACGTCCCACAATAATCTAGTAATGGTTCCAAATTCTTACCCCTATCGACACACGGTGGCAAAAATGTTCATATATAAATCCTCAAATCAGTTCATCCGAGAACAAACATGGACTCTGGCAGTTCAAGTCTTGCACAGAAATAATGGATAATAGGGTTTTTTTTTTTTTAAGATTTTATTTCTTTTTAGAGAGTTGGGGAAGGTAGGGGGAAAGAAAAAGGAGCATCAACCGGTTGCCTCTCATACGCCCCCAACTGGGGACCTGGCCTGCAACCCAGGCATGTGCCCTGACTGGGAATCAAACCAGCAACCTTTCAATTAGCAGACCAGCGCTCAATCCACTGAGCCACACCAGTCAGGGCTGGATAATAGTCTTTAGTTGACTTAATAGTGTGGTGTTTTTTGTTTTTTAAATCTTCATCTGCAGATATGTTTATTGATCTTAGAGAGAGAAGGAGGGAAGGAGGGAGAAAGGGGAGAGAGAAAGAGACAGCAGACACTGATCGGCTGCCTCCTATATACACCTTGACCAGGAATCAAACCCGCAACTGCTGTACAGGATGGTGCTCCAGAGCCACCGGCCAGGGCAGTTGTGTGGGCGGTTTCTTAATGTAACACTTCCCTAGGAAGGGCAACGATTCTTTGAATCAATATGCAAATGTCTTTGTCCATGGTCTGTACTTTAAATTAGTTTTAAAGGGAAAATGATCTTGAAGAGGGGTTACTTCTTCACTAGCTTGCTTTGACAGACTGCTGGTTGTACCCCCAAAGCTACTCTCCCCTTGTTCACAGTTTTAAGTACAGGCTGTTGGCTAAAGACAATTCCTCAGCTCCTCTGCGGACAGGAGTGGCCACGGGACTGAGTTTTCCCCAGGGAACGTGAATGGAATGGAGAAGCGTCCATTTCTGCCCCAGCTGCTTGAAAGGAAAACTGGGTGGGGGGACCCACCCACAGCTCTGCGTGGCAATCAGAGGTCACAGCTCCGCGGTACTGGGGGCTAGAATTGTAGGCCAGGGTATCTGGAGCTGGGGGAATAATGGCTGCAGAATTTCCAGATTTGGTGAAAACTTCTAAAAAACAGTGCTCAAGAAACCTGCCAACCTCACGTCCCACAATTCCATTTCACAGCCTCTCTCCTCAAAAGAAGCTGTTATTGGCAGTTCTCTAAGTAGGTTATTTACTCTCGAGCCAGAGAGGTGGTTAAGTGCAACAAACGGGCGTTGAAATCAGAGACAAGGGTTTGAATCTTGGTGTTACCACTACTAGTCTGACAGTCTTGGGTGAATGACCTTTAACCTCTTTGTGTCTTTGTTTCTTCGTTTGAAAAACTAACAACAGTATGTTGTGAGTACTTAAAGAGATAATGTAAGAGCTCAGTGAAACACACATTATTATATAATTATATATCGTAATCATCACACCTGTAAGTTCCTTCGATTTGTTCCCACCACCAGGAATATTTCTCTCCCTCATTCCGGCCTGGTAACTCCCACCTGTCTTTTACTCTCCTGAAGATGCTCTGCAGGTGCCAACTCTTCCAGAAAGTTCTCTCTGAGTGAGGGCCCATCTCTGTTCTCCAGAGTCCCCTTCACTTCTCTGTTTTATAGTACTTATCATACTACTACCAAGTCTGAGTCACCTGCTAGGAAGGGCCAGGAAATAAGTATCTTAGCTTGGTGACCCGTACGGTCTCTGCTGTACTAATTAACTCTGCTACTGCAGCATAAGGCATGAACAGGTGTGGTCGTATTTCAACAAATCTTTATTTACAAACACAGGCAGTGGGCCAGCTGGGCCCTAGGGCTACAGTCTGCCAACTTAATGTGCTCGAACATAAGCTAAGCTGGGGTAAGAGCTGGTCTTTCCTCTCTGTGACCTTACCACAATGTAGCCCAGTAAATAGTTACCGAACTGAATGAGTGGGCAAGTCAGTGAAAGTTATGAAAAGTCTAAATTGTGTCAACATCCCCTGTAAACCCCCTTTCGATGAACTTCTTCCTCGTCCTATCTTTCTGTGCTCCTCTCTTATCTACCTATCACACCTGATCGTAGCCAGTAGTTTCCCACAACGAAATTCCTTTGCATCCTTTGCGCCCTGCAGTGCGCTGAACACAGAGCAGGTGCTCAATAAAAGCTGCACCGGAAGAAGAACGGAATCAAAGGGAGAGCACGAGAGAGGTCAAGATCAGTGTCTGTTGCCCAGCGGCTGCACAACAGCTCCTAACAGACAAGACTGCTGACCAAAAATGTAATTACACTGTGATCTTTCTAAACGATCAGACTAAGAACTCTATTCTAAATGTCCTTTTTACATTGCATCTTGCCCAAGGCTCTACTGGTCCTTTATTAGTACACCCTAAAAATACACCTGAGGAAATCACCAAAGAAACGTATAAAATATAATAATTTCAAGCCTACTCAGAACAGGGAGCATCTAGGGCCACGCAAACAGCTGTAACCCTTCCTGTGAGATCCCTGCCGTCTGTGCGTCCGAGCCTCGGTCTAACGCGGCTTCATAGCCTCTCCTTCTACGGGCGGACACTTAAAGGAAAGGCCAGTCTGGCCTTCGCCCCACAAGATGCTGCTGGGACTACCTACCGATTTGTCCGGTGGTGGCTGCCGAAGGTGGTCCTTCCCCCGGGGCCCACGAAGAGCCGCAGTCCCTCCTCTGCACATGGAAAACATTTGTTGTGGGTACAGTGACTACTGCCAAGCGACAGTCATATTACAGTAAAAGCCTATTTTCCAGTTCAGTTTCATTAAAGAAATGAAAGACTTATAAGAGCTACCCACATGGTTTAAAGTGGACGATTTAAGAGCTACTCTAATCACTGTTTCTCATCAACTCTCCTAAAGGTTTTTTCTTAGAACTGAGTAAAGAAGGCAGTTCTTCCTACGAATTTCCACGAGAGGTTCAAAGATTTCCCTTTACAGCCACTTACACAATGAAACCAAGTCCATTATTAACTGCACTCCACTCCCACCAGCATGAATAATTACACCTTTCAAATGGGCGGCCTGTAAATTTTTCAGTTTCAGTGGAAATTCGAAGGAGGGCAGGAGGGATTCTGTTATTCACCAGCATTTCAAGTTCATGACGCAGCCTACCAAATCACGACAGTGACTTGAGGCACGAAGGCCCCAGTTATGACAAAACAGATGTAAGTATGCATCCTCAGGTATATGAACCTGGCAGACACCGATGCATAATTAACAAAATACAGTTAAAGAGCTTTTTTTAAAAGTACCTTTCTGAAGTCTGTTCTTTACCAAATTTAATTCCCATTCTCAGAAACAAATGAGCTACAAAGCCACCTTCCGATTTTAATGGGTTGTGCAATGCAGTTCACCAATGTGCCACCCACAGCACCGCGACACACTCCTCTTTGCTGCTGACCCCTGGGGCACACGCCCCGGTGCCACGCGTGTGCATGTACTCGGGGCTGGTCCACACACCTTCTGCACTGGAGTCCAGGCTGAAGTCCTGGCTTTGTAAGATTTTCTCTACAATATCATCTGCGTCCACTCTGGTGTCATCGACCCGCTTCAGCTGAGATTCTACCGAATCCTGTTTCACTGGGCATCTTTGAAAACAATTAAAAAAAAAAGTCCTCCTTTTTACTGTTGCGAAAACAAAGCCCACCCACCCCCTCCCACCACCCGGCCTAAAGGATACCTGTTGAGAGTTTCGGAAGCTGTGTCTTCCTTGTCAGCTGCATCCAGGTCTGCTTCCGCCCCTTTTTGCTCCACTTCGTCACAGGGTTCTAGGGTGCTTTCGATGCCTGTCGAGGTGCTTCCCACGGACGTGTTCCTCCTGTGGCAGAACTCGGAGAAGCTGGACGACCGCGAGTGGCAGGAGCTGTACCCTGTCGGAGAAAACCACGGCGGATGTGATGCCGACACCAGACACGCGGCAGCCCAAGCCTCCCCTCCCATCCCGTGGCCATTTCCAGGCCTGGGGGAGCAGTGGATGTCTGAGGACCTCAGCTTCACGGCCGGCCGCTACCTGACACTTTGGACTGCTGGCTTGCATAGCTCGATGTTCTCGAGTGTCCACAGGCACCAAGTTCATCTGGAATAGAGGCGCTCTTTGCTGAGAGATCTGTAACATGTCATAACACAATGTCACTACTACAGCCAACAAGTCGTGGTCAGTTACATTCTACTCTGTGGATTTTATAAGCTTCCAAGTTCATGATCAAGAAAAGCAAGTTGCAAAGTGAAAGAGATTCCTTTAAGTCCGTACTATGGGAACAACTGTGTTGTGAGAAAAGTAGGAAACTGAAATACCTTAGTTTACTGAAGAAATACAGTGTTTTTCATAAGATTTAACAGAACTCTACCTGAAATAAAACTTTCAGTTTTTATTGCTTAGCATTTCTGATTAAGAAAAAATGGGTCAGATGTGTTCTCAATAATTCTCACGACGCTGCCAGGCTTTTGAGAGGTGTTTGAGGGAACCTCGCTCCCAGAGACCGGCCACTGCAGGAAATGGGAGAGCACTTGGTCACGGCGACATTCGTGTTGCCAGCGCCAGGCTGTGACTGGGCACAGGCCTGTGCTGAAGGGCAGCGCAGCAAGGGGCGCAGCACTGAGAGTGAGGCAACAGATTATGTCCAGTTTCAAAGTCAATGTACAAAAATGCCGTGTCAAGGCCATTCCCAGCAGTTCCCTGATAGCGGGCGTGTCCCAGATGCCAAGGATGTGTTTCCAGGCCCAGGCTTCCCATCGGGTGCAGAACTGTGACCGTGTCCACAGGGGGGAAGTACCTGGAAATGCAACTGCTCTTCACTTAGAAGCAAAAGGGAACCCAGTGGGTAGCACAGCAATCGTGGCGGCAGCTCCCTAAGTAATACCGAGCACAGGTGGACCGACACGTGCCACCAAACACAAGGGCCCTCATCCAGGACAGACGGGAGGGTACAGTGCACACCAGCACCTTGTCCTGCTCTACTAGGGTCCCGAAGCCACAGACCAGAGACAATAACATCTGAACTCAAAGACTTGGTTCCGACCGAAATGACACAGGACTGACACCTCACTCTCAGCGTGGGCTCTGACCCTGATGTACCCATTTATCTATTGGTTTACAAGATTTAATCACTCAATAAATAGTTACTAAGCCCTTACCAGGTTAGGTGTCAATACTGCGTAAGATACAGGGGGTATAAGATAAATGAGACAGACCACATGCTCTGAGTTTGGAAGCAGAAGCAGCAGTGAGAAATGTGCACAAACATCACAAAGCAGCTACTCAGAGCTCCGAGGGCCAGCGGCTTCGAACGCCACCTGCTGACGGGGGAGAGGCCTCATGGAGGAGGGAGGGCGACTCCCGGTCCTCACCCAGGTCCAGGAGCTGCCCAGTGAGAGGAGGAGTGAAAGGCACAGGGACAGCACGGCTTTTCGGGTAGAGCTGGCACAGAGGATGCAGGTACTAAAGGTCGCAGGGAAAGGGGACAGGAGCAGGTGCCTGCTGTGGAAGAACTTTGTTTTGAGAAGGATGCGGCATGACCGGATCTACATCCTGGGAAGATCACTTTGGCAATAGGATAATCGGAGTGAAGGGATGACAGTTTTCATAATGACCCAGCGGAGGGTGGGAGGTGACTGGCGGGCGCGGATGACAGCACTGGCTCCTAAGCATAAGTGACTGTCCAGATAACCGAGAGAGAAAATGCAGGAGGAGGAGGAGGAGGAGGAGGAGGAGGAGGAGGAGGAGGATGCGGGAAGACTTGAGCTGGATGTGCAGAACTGAGACACCTGAGGACACCCACTCACCACCCACTGAATTTCTGCCCTCTCCCTGGCATTGTGCTGGAGACACAGTGACAAGGCCTGATCGTGGGGGACTCAGCATCCAGCTCAGGAGGCAGACGAACGGACGGACGGCTTTCAGTGTGAGATGGGACGTGAAGTGGGCCTTTCCCTAGAGCATTTGGAAACGTGAGCTGCAGCTCAGGAGGGAGGTGGGAGGTGACACAAATGTGTAAATGGAAAGGACAGAACTCTCACCAATGCGGTCACATTAGCATTTCAGTGGTCATTATGTCTGAGGGTATGGATGATAGCGTGAGCACAGGGAACCAAAGCCCAAGGAACATCAGTATTTAAACAGAAGATGAAAGAAGACAAAGCCTCCAAGATGCTAGAAGAGGAAAGGCCAGAGGCATGGGAGCCATGGGAACAGAAAGCTTGGAGAAGGAATAAATGGCCAAGACAGATGAAAGCAGAAAAAGTGCCCCGAGGAAGTGGCAGTCATGTCACTGGAGACATCAAGAGAGGTGGAGGCAGAAGCAGGGGCCGGGCTGAGGATACATTTGGGAATAAGAGGGTAGTGTGGTCATTACAGAAGTTGGGCTACAAAAAGTGTGAGGGGGGAGGGGGAAGGGGAGCAAGAGCCTGTGAAGAGCAGTGGAGAAGGAGCTCAGCCCTGGCTGGTGCGCTCAGTGGGCTGGGCATCCTTCTTGCAAAGTGAAAGGTCCCGGTTCCATTCCCAGCCAGGGCACAGGCCTGGGCTGCAGGCTCCGTCCCGGCTGAAGCCCGTGGGGGAGGCAACCGATCAGTGTTTCCACTCACACGTCAATGTTTCTCTCCCTCTTTCTCCTTCCCTTCCCCTCGCTCTAAAAATAAATAAAATCTTTTAAAAAGTGCTGACAAGGAGGAGCTAAGGGGAAGGTTCGAAGGACCACAGATCCCAATCCTGCAGTGGCCTGTTGTAGCTGGGGGTTGGGGGGGGGAAGCATACAATAGTGGGTGTGTGTGGGGGGGCTGTGTCATTGAGACATCAGGCTTCTCATCTGTCAGAGCATAGCACTGAGACGAGATGAAGAGCTTAACTAAAAACTGCATAACTAAAACTCTGTGAGACTCAACACCCACAGAACTTTAAATCTGGGACGGACAACGGGAATCTCACAAGTGAAGAAACCAGTCGACTACACATCCGTACCTGCTATTCCAAGATGGGCTTTGAGGGTCTCTCCCCCTTTCCTATCTTCTTCCAGAGATTCAGCTTCCCCAGCAATCGGTATGGACATTGACGTAGAAGGAGGCCTGGGAACAAGCATTTCACAGGATCAGTATTTGGTTCCCAGGTCAGAGACTGGTTGTGTAGTCAGTACACGGCCTTAGTAAGGTACCTGAAGTGTCACACCTTTGAAGATGACATGAATAAAAATCAACACATAATGTACGAGCATCCTCAAACCTGAATAAAAATCCATGGCGGGGCGGGGGGTGGGGTGGGGGAGAAGAGTTTACACAACCAAAAATGTGAGACCAGAAAGAGAACCCAGAAAGGAGAGGAGGACTCTGCCAGCGTGTCCCCAGCACTACCAGTGGAGGGCGCTCCATCCGTCAGTCCTAGTCACACGGCAAGCCCCTCCCACCTGAGGTTGGAGGGAAATACCTCACCTTTGCCTCGGTGCCTACACTCTGTTGTTGACTCCACTAACTCTTTAAATAGTATCCAGGTTTTCTTTTCCACCTTCTTTTTGAAAACAGTTCGCCTGCCTCAGGGAGAGTCTATAAAGATTTGCTTTTTGGGCTGGATTCCCTGGAAGCTGATTGTAGGTATATTTTTCTTGGCTAATTCAGGGCTCCTATCTCCTTGTGGAAGCCAGGAGCCGGGAAGAAGGGAGGGGCACGTTTGAGCTCTAACAGGACTTTTTTTTTTTTTTAAATAAAGCATCCCTGGCCCGCTGAGGTTGATTTTCCAGAGGAAAACCACATTTCTGGAGACTTGGAGACCTGAGCTGAACCAGGAAGGTGGCCCAGGCATGGGAGAGCTGATTCTGGGCCCTGAGGACACAGGCAGGTAAGAACGCCACAAAACCTATTTATAGATTACTTACACCCCAGCATCTCCTAATTTCCAAAACTCCACGCCCCAGAGAGAAATCTTCAAGCACTTGTCCTGAAGGAGCATCAAAGTCAGTGTGTCCCCACCTAAGTCTGTTCCCTGATGCGGTCCCTTTCTCCGCAAGCTCCGTCACAGCCCACGAAGTCACCCGACGACAGCCCCCTAGGCGGCCTCCGTCCCCCTCCTACTCCCGTTTCTCCACATCCAATCAGCTTCCAAATCCCAGATGCCCTCTTAACACGTGTGTGGTCGTTTTCCAATTCATTGCTCTTCTCCACCTGCAGCAGGGACTTCAGTCTGGCTTTGTCCTTGTCCCGGATGGCACGGCGAGTCTCCCAGAGAGTCTGCCTGCCCCGGCTGCAGTCCCTGTGTCCTTTCTGAAACATGCATACGGGCAGGTTACTCTCTGATTTAAAACACTCCAAACGCTCCTTGGGGACAAAGCCCAGACTCCTCGGAATGGCCCAGACCTGCCTCTTCAATGACCCAGAGCTGCACGGTCACTAAGCAAGTCCCCGCGTAACATCGTCGATGGGTTCTGCAGCCTGAAGTGGAACAGGGTCGATTCCACAGCAGGCCAACTGAGATGAACAAGGTTAAGTTCCTATATTAATCACTGATGGTGGCTCAGGCCTGCCTAAATTCTTTTTTTTTTTTTTAGTTCTTATCTTTAGAATGCCAGTTCCTTCGGTTTTCCTTTCACAGATGGCCTGATTACGGTGTCTCCTCCGGCCCTCCACCTCGACCTGTTTCCCAGACGTCAGGAGCCCAGCCCGAGGCCTCTTCCCTTCCTCCTTGTCTATCAGCCTCCCTCCGGCTCCACTCTTTCCTGCCTGGCGACTTCGCAGCCCCCACACTTTCAGCATTACCCTTGGCCTGCAGTCCTGAAAACCTGGGGAGCCCCAGCCCTTGATAATTTCAGCCACTGTGCCCACTGCTCTAATTTCAGGGCCCCAAAGCATTGCAGACAGAACTCGCCCACACGGGGGCTGATAGGAAGGCAAAGGTGGGATCTGAGATCTCAGCAGGGCCTGGGCAGCTCCCTCGACAGCTCGCTGTGCTGAATAAATTGTCACTGAGTACCCCTTTGTTCTGAAAGTGTCTGTATATCCCTTATTGGAAATGGTTTAATATAGCTCAACTACAGCAACACAAGAGATGGGTTTTCTTGTTTTAATGTCACAGTAATGTTAAGAGCACAGAAAAAACGACCTCCCATGATGGCAATACTGCCACAGGCTATCGAGTGACTACTCCACGCCCTAGGACAGTGCTGCAAACTTGGGAAAGCTGTGTTCTCCTCCTGGAATGCCTCCACCCACCTCCTCTGCTTAGCAATTCCTCTTCTTCTTCATCCCTGACACTTAGATCCGTGTTACTCCCTCGGAGAAGACTTCCCAGAAAAGTGGTCGGGGACTTGTCCTCCAGGCCTCAGTAACACCACAGGCCACGTGTCCGTCTCCCACACGCTCTGGAGACCGTGAGTCCTCCAGAGCGGCGGCTGGTCATGATTCAGTTTGGTAAACATCGGCAATGGCAGGCACAGGAGGCACAGATACTGAATGAAGGGGTGCATCCCGGGACCCTGAGACTCAATATCCTCACTTAAAAATATGGAAAATACTCAAATCACAGAGTAAAGAATTAAACGGGGAGGCAGTAATATTCGTAAAATCATTTGGACGAACGGTAATTTCCTTCCTTTTAGAGTATAAATGTTCCCGAGTCCTCACTGTTCTCTCGCTGTTCAAGAGGGTCAGAGCGTCCCTAGAACTGCTTCGCCGCCGTGACCGAATGCCAGTGCAGTGTGTGACTGTCCTCTCGAAACACCCTTTTCCCTTATCAGCGCGAGTGGCGGCTTTCTTTCCTGGGTCGGCTCCGCTCTTCTACAGGAGGTGGTGGGTATCTGACGCGCTACGGAGGACTCCAAAGTGGAGCTGGGGGCAGGTGGTCAGAGGCTCACTTGCCGGCTGTCTTCTCCATACGCGTTGGCCTCACAGTGTAAAATCCATTTCAGAAAAATCACACAATCCATGCCACAGATTTTCTGCTCATAAACTATCCGAACTAGCATTTAAATCTGAGCATGTCAAGGGGTCAGCTCTACTCTTGTTTTTTTTTTTTTTGGTGTGTGTGTATATTTTCCCTTTCCTTTTTGTTTTTGCATTTTTTAAAATCTTTTTTTCCCTCTCGTTTTTCTAGATTTTAAAAACATTACACCATGAAAAAGTCAAAGGCAGATGTGAGCGGAGAGAAGAGTAGCAGGAGGCTCCCCAGTCGTCATTCAAATCTGTGCCCTACAGGGGAATACACAGCCAGGTCGCTCAGTTGCTCTGTGCCTTGAACTTGGATTATACAAACACTTGAACTGGCTTCATGAAGCTCCCTTCATGGGGGTAAGAAGGTATTACACCCCTGACCCTCATTAGAAAAATGTTACACACTAGAATTCATAATACAATTGAGGAAATACATTTGTGGCTAAATATTCTGGAAAATAAATCACCAAACTAGACGACTTCCAACATTCTTTTCAGCCATAAAGGAGTTCTGTGATTTTACGTATTTGATATATGTTAAAATATAACTTGATAAAAAATTCACTTTTTGTATCAGTGGTTCAAACACTTTTCTGTTCCATTCCTACTCAGTATGTGTAGGTGGGAGAGTTGCCCCTTTCCCACAGAAAGCTGCACAATTTCAGATATTCAAAGATAAAACAAATATTGAGGGTTTGATTTTCCTAAGAAATATTTTTACTTCTCTTGTGATGAGGTGATGTCTGTTTATTTTAATAAACCATAAAAGTTTCCATAAATATAAGAACTGTCAGAACTGCATTTGTGGAGCTGATACAGAACCCAAGGGGACCTATTTTTGAGCTTGTTAGCATTTGAGTTTCACAAGCAGGGAGGGAACACAGTGGAGAAAGGGCCAGTGAGTGGCTGCTCAGGAAAAGCCCATGAGAAGAAATGATGAATTCATATTCTTCCACTAAGTTTTGCTATTCATTTGCTCCTCTTACCCTGAAGTAATTCCATTAGAAAAATACCGTCGCCCAAGAAACCAAAAAGAGTATAGCGAAAATGGTTTAGTCCCAAGAGAACAGGAAATTAAGAGAGAAGCCAGGAAATGATGGTTTGAGAGAAGACAGTGGAGGGAGGCTAAGTTAGAGGCAAACACACAGTTTTAATCAATAATTGATTTATATCAAGACATATATTTTCATCCTTATGAAATGGCTCGTAAGAAGAGAACTATGTAGATGTTGCTATTAAAACATGGAGTCGATGATGCATAGGGACATAATTAATGCTTCCTCTTCTAAACATGTTCTCCTCAGATATTTAAATAACATCTAATTAACTTTCATGTTTAATTATTAAGTGTCTTCCAGATTGCTGACAGGCAATCCCTCCTTCCTCCCATTCCATCTCTCTCTCTCTCTCTCTCTCTCTCTCTCTCTTGCCTTTTACACATCTTCCCCTCTTTCCCCAACCCCCACCTCCACACCTCACTGCCCTGGTCCCCTCGGGTCACCTGGCTTCTCACTTCACTCAGAAACCAGGAGCAATTTGAAAATAACTTCTCCGTGCTTCCCCTTCTCGTGTATCTGCATCTGCAGCCATGCTCCCTGCCTTCCTCCCTCTCAACAACCCAAGGCGCCGTTCTAGCATTTTCCTCTCTCCCCTCTGCACCATGTTTCTCCCTCTCCATTGGGCCACTCAGAGCAGCGAACAAACCCAGCCGTCCCCCCTTATCTGTGGGGCACGTGTTCCAACTGTGGGTAGCCCCAAACCCTGTAAGTACTGTTTTCCTGCACACACATACCTATGGTAAAGTTTAAAGTGCAAATTCGGCACCATGAGGGATTAACAGCAATAACGTGTAGTAAAATAGAGCCACTGTAACAACACCGTCAGGGTTACCTGCACACAAGCACTGTAGGAGTGGATCTGATGAGCCAGACGGCTACTAAGTGACAGATGGTGGGTCAGTGTGTCCAGAGGGGAGATGCTGGACTACGGGGTGATTTAAATCCCAGGGGCACAGGGTGGGTCAGCATGAGATTCCCCCATGCTACTCTGAATGGCACGCACCTTAAAACTTATGAACGTGTATTTCTGAAATTTTCCATATCATATTTTTGGACCACGGTTGGCTGTGGATAACTGAAATTGGAGAAAGTAAAACTGCAGAGGGGGGAACACTACTGCACTCACTGTCTCCAAATTGTCTCTTCCAAACCCCTTCCTAACCCCCTTCCATAAGGCTGTCATAAAGGGCATGCTGCCAAAGTGCTTGACAAGGTCACCGGTAATGTCTACGCTGTAAAAGCCGAAGGTCGACCCTCAGTCCCCATTTCCCTGATCTGCCTCCCTAGCACGTGACGCCGTCGATCACTCCTTCCTTTCTGACACAGGTCCTCTGCTCAGTTTCAGGACAGTCCTGTCCTTGGGTTCCTTCCTCCCACCTCCCTGGCCGTTCTTCCCTGGCTCCCGGCCTGTCACATGCTGCAGTGCCCACACTGCTGTGCTTTTCTTTCTCTGTAGTCACTCCCTCGGGGTCATGAAGCCAAATCTCACGGCTTTAACGGGTGTCTCTGTAGGTGCCGCTGATGTCATGGTTTCGCATCGCCAGCCTGGGCTTCCCACTCAACCCCTCGGTGGCATAGCCAGCTGCCTCCTCCACGTGCTGGCTGGATGTACATTGGGATTTCAAAGCTAACGTGTCCGACACCCAACCTGTCCCTCCTGGAGACCCTCCCGTTTGGCACAGGGGAAAACCAGTCTCCTTGTTTCTCAGTCCCTGACCCTGGATCGCTGAAGCTGCTGCCTAACTCATCTACCTATCCCCCCCAACCCTTGCCCCCTTCACTGCTCCTCCAAACGGCTCCCACCCAGCAGCTGTAAGTCAGATTACATATTCCTCTGCTCTACACCCTCCGGGAGCTTTTTACCTCATTCAGATTATACGTTGCCAATGAGACCATTACCATAATGGTCCACAAAACTCTATCAGCTGGTCTCGTCTCCTATGACCTTCCTCCTCACTCACGCTATTGTCCATAGGCTGGTCTCCTGGCAGCTATTTGAACATGTCAAGCACACACCTCCCCGAGGGCCTTTGTCTTTGTTGCCTGTGCCTCAAACGCTCTTTCCCCAAACCCCACGTGGTGCCTGCTTCCGCCTCCTTCAGGTCTCTGCTCAAATATCGTCTTCACCAGGGAGGACTCCCCTGACTACGCCATATAAAACAGCGACAGCTCTCCCTGCCACAGACGGTCCTTCCACCCCGCGTTACTTTTCTCCAGAGCACGCGTGGCGGTCTTGACGTCACATGCTTACTCGTTAGTCTGCTGCCTGTTTCAGAATCCAGGCTCCAAGATGCCTGGTCTGTTGCCCCTGCTCTTTCTGTCAGGTCTAGAAGACGACTAGCACACAGTAAGGCACTAGGTGTCTGTTCAAAACATGAGTAAGTCCAGAGAGGTCAACTGAAAATGTTTAATTTGTATAATTCCACCTAAAACCTGAAGATGACAAAAGGCCTAGAGTGGAAACGATTCAGGGTGCGCTGTGCTCTCAGGTAACAGGTAACAGGATCTTCTCCTCTGAGGGTCAGGGGGTCGCCCAGGGGAGCAACTGGTATCAGCTTGTAAACACGACAAAATAGGAACCTCAACACTGAAACAAATAAATCACTATTGTACTTTCAGGTAAATAACTCATTCATGGAGCGTTGACTTACGTTTTGAAACACGGGTCGCCGGACATCAGCTGCATGCTGATTAAAACCTAAATGGGAGAAAAAGAGACACTGTGACCCCACAAGGTCTCCCAACGGGGGAGGCCCAGCTCTGCGAACTCACGCAGCCTCCACGGCCGCCCGATCGGTGCCTGCTGCGCAGAAAGGCCGAATAACCTGGCTGCCCAATTGTTTTACGCCCAGTACGAAAGTGCTGCTTCATACAGACATAGATGAAACACCATCTCTAATACTCAGAACCGTGTCCTCGAAAAATCAGGGTGGAACAGACAGAAACCGAAGGTGAGTACTGTGGCCGCAGCGGCCTCGTCAGTGCTGTGCCGGGCGAGTTTGTCTTGGGGTTGGAGTGTTTCCCACCTTGCCCTGCTGGCTGTCACTCAGGGCTATGTTGTCACTTCACGGGGTGCCTGCGGGTGGCTGGCAAGAGCAGAGAGAGCGCTTCCCGCCTTCGCCCCAGCTTTAGATCAGGACTGAAAGGGCTGCTGAAGAAAGCGTTGTCTGACTTGCTGCTGTTCACTAGCTGCTGGCTGCCTTTAAGGATCAGCCACGGGATCTTCTCATGTTCTTCTGGGACTAACAATGATAGTATCAATCATCGTTGACATTAACAACCATCATGATTGGGGAACGTATTACATGCTGGGCCTAAGATAAGGGTTTTATGTGGGTTATTTCATCTAATCTTCAAAGCTTCTATGAGAGATTGATGCTTCGAGTTTAAGCCTAGGAGGTTAAGGTCAGACAGCTAGTGAAGGGGTCTAAACCCAGGGCTGCATGTTACTAAAACTCAAGGTCTTAATGAAGACTGTGCGTTTCCCGCTAATGGCTGACATGTACGTGTACTGGGCTGGCTTCCTCACCACCTCTCCTGACACGGAACTTGACAATCTGGTCTCCAACTCCACCAAAACAGTGCTCTGGAGATGGAGATGGAGATGAAGGAGATGGAGATGGAGATGGAGACGGAGGTGAGGCAGGTGCGGGCAGCTTTCACAAAACCACAAGGAGGGTAAGGTCGAAGTGGGGCAGTGGTTGGAGGAGGTAAGAAGCTGCCAGAGCCATTTCCTTACATGTTGATGAGGATGGTTCATTCAAAGGAGAGAGGATCAGGGAAAGGGACCCTGGAAGGGGCAAAGCTCTGGATTAGGCAAGTTTCAGATTCTAGAACCTAGGAGGAAGGACAGACTTCTCACTGGCAGAGAGACACTTCATTCATTGTAACATGAAGCAGAAAGGATAATGGGGCTGGAGAGACTGGAAGGCAGAAATTCTGTGATGGGAAGAGGAGAGAATTTGAGTTCAACGGCATCTGGGTTCTTAATAAAAGATGAAGCAAAACCACTAGCTGAGAGCCAGGGTGGTGTGTGGAGACATGAGGAGAAAAGCCACGAAAAAGAATACGTAGATCTGGCTGTAAACCCCCCCGGGGGCTGGGGCTGAGGGAGACGGAGGCTCCGGAGTCCCAGGCTCTCCTCTTAAAGGGCCCGCACGTGGACTCACCCAGACTCATGCCCTCAGAGCTCCAGTGCCGGGGTAGCAGCTCGAAAGGCACCAGGGTTGGAGGGATGGTGAAAAAGGTGAACTGATTAACACGTACAAACTGGTAGTCACAGGGATGTAGAGTGCAGCGTAGGAAATGCAGTTCATGATATTCCAGTAACTATGTGTGGGGCTGGATGGGTATGAATCTATTGGGATGATCACTTGGTAAGTTATAATAATGCCTAATAATGTGTACACCTGAGACTTGTATAATATTGTATATCAACTATAATTGAAAAATAAAAAATGATTTAAAAAGAAAAAGAACCCCTAGGTCACTAGGAAAGGAAGCTTCCAAGAGAAGAGGAGTGTGGCTGCTTGCTGGCGGTGAGCATGGTGTGGGTAACTCCAGCTGCGCCCGGTGACTTCCCTGCCACGTCTGACAACCAGACGCAGACCCACGGGGGATGGAGGGCTCTGATTAGGGTTGGCCACACTCAGGGGACAGCAATGGAGGGGGACGGGGGCCGAAGGCCAAGGAGCACGTTTCATTTCTTATCATTAGATAACCTAACTAAAATACAGCAAAAATGTTTACCCAGTGAGTTTTCCGTGGTGCAAGGCACTTTCCAAACGCTTTCTCAAGCAGTCTCATTTAATATACCCTGCCCGAGGCCACCAGAATGTTCGGCTCCCAATGGTTCTTGGAAATACGTGGGTGGATGCCCACAGTGACTTCCAACTATTAATTCACTAGTTCGAAGAGGACCCAGTGACTTCTGTGTGGCCACCATGGCTGCTCTGGAAATCACCTTTTGGGAGCTATAAGCATTTGAAGGTGCCCATTCACCATGCTCCCTCCTGCCCACGAGCCCGAGGCCATAGTGGTTCAGTGCACTGACCCCTGCATGGCCACTGCATCAGAGAGAAACCCCCTTAGGGTTGCGAAGGTGAAATTTTGTGACTTTTCACCGCGTCTGTGATTCTGGGACTTGGGTAGTTTTTGCCCTAGCTGGTGAGTATTTCAGTGGTATGCTTAGCTTGTGAGATCATCAGTACCAACTCCCATCTTGCCCTTGACAGCAGACAGTCATGCTTTTTTAAAGGCAGAGAACCTCATCTGTTGACATGTGCCTCTTGAAACGTGCTTACTTTAAGGATGGAATTATCCTGTCTCGTATTTTTGGTATCATAGCCTTCCAGTAAACAGCGACGAGTGGTACTTCCTGACCCAGCAAACTCTGCCAGGTTTAGATCTGCAAAGCCCAGCTGTGAAAAGAAAAAAAGAATTTAATAAGAATATCTACGAGGCTTCTATCATGTTCTTCTTAACATAAACATTCACCCCATGTTCTAGAGAAGTTATCGCCAACTGCAGTCATTTGGAATTGTTGCTATCTTAACAATACCTGTTCCAGTATTTGCGTAGTATGTGTCTTTAAATTGGCTCACTTCTGGTAAGAAATATATTCCCTAATGTCCTCATTTTAGGCAACGCAATCTTTGAAATCATGGATTTGATGTGCTAAATATATTCTTCTGTACACATTAAAATATATAACTGTTGCAGTACAAATAAATAATGCATATGCAGCAACTGAACTCATTGCAAGGAGCAGGGGCCCTTGAACTAGAGGAAACACTAGAGGACCAATCAAGATCATGTGCAAGGACGTACAGGGCACTGACCAGACTTGCCTCTCCCTACTCTGGTTCCCCCTCTATTCCCAGGCAACCCCTGGTGGCTACAGGCAGCTGCAGGTTATTAAAGTCACACTCTCCGCTCAAGAACTAGAATGATTTAAGTACATGTCACACACTTTTGTTGGTACAAAACCCTTCTCCTTCAGCACCTATCATAACCTTGTCTTGCTGATCATCCTGGTGATGAGTCTTTCACGAAAAACCCGACTTCTTCCCTTCCCCAAAGCTCAGCCCACACCGGCCCTCTGGGCTGCTATCCAGAAGCTCGGCTCAGACCTGTCCCTCCCTGGTCACCGTCTTCCGCTGCTACCAGAGGCCACCCTCCAGTCTTTCCTCTGATTGCGTCCAACCCTCGACTGTGTTTCCAAGTGGTCAACCCCATCTTATCTTTTTTAAAAAACAAATTAAGTCTATTCTACATGACCAAGTGTATACGGTTTTTTGTTAACAACAACAAGAAGTTTTGCATGTACGATTAAGCACATTTCCTTAAATGTATAATAAAGACTACTGACCATTTCAAACACTGCTATGATTTTAAGTTGCTTGCTTTAAGATTTTAGTAACACCCTGGGCAATAAGAATAACATTTGAGATGAAGATTTTAGTTGCAGACTGGAGCATTATTTTAGGAGTGTTGAACTGGTACGAAAAGAATGAAGAATAAGAACTTAAGAGTCCAGCTAAAGGGTCAGCGAGGGCTCCCATTCCAGTGAGGTACCAGAGAGCCTACACATCCTTACGACTTCCTCTTTGGCTTCCCTGAGATAACTGTCTCATCGACATGGTATCTGTAGTCGATATTACTCCATTTTGCAAAGAAATTCTGAGCACCTACATTCCAGCAAATGTCAGGTGTTAGGAATATATATATATGCATCATCCCTGTTCTCAAGGAGCTCACAGTTTTTAATATGGGAAGACAGAAAAGTTCGTATAAAAATCTATGTGCCGTGCTAGCAGAGGGCACAGCTGCGAGAAAGGGAGGAAGAGAAAACCTCTCAGCGGGGAGGGATGAGCAAGCTGAGTGTTCAATGACAGCTGGGCTGCAGGGACAAGAGAAGGGAGAAGCACACGTCTGGCAGGGAGGACGAGTCACAGGGCAGAGGCTAAAAGGGCAGGTGCACGGGAGCAGGACATTCAGGAGGCCGTGCATCTGTGCACAGGGAGAGTGTGGGTGTGTAAGCCCCAGGGTGCGTGTGCACACACACGTGCAGGTAGGCGATTTGCAATCCACGATGGGTCTAAGAGGCAGGGTTAAAGACTTCACTTTCCTTCCAAGGAAACAGACAGCTGCTGGCAAACTGAAAGGGAGGGGGTGATAGGACTGTGTCTGAATTTTAGAAAGATCCCTCTGGCCACACAGAAGAAGGACTGGAGGGAGACAACACAGACAGAGAACAAAAAAGAGCAGGCCAACGCAGGTTTTAAATAAGAAATAAACGGCATAACCTAATGCGGTGCTTTTGGGAATGGAGAGGAGATGGTTTTCAGAGCTTCTGGTAGAGAAAAGGCAAGAGGATCTGTCAATCACAGTAGACCCTGCTGCCTGCCCGCCCATCACTCAATGCCCTGATATTCCTTGCTATCAGAGCTCTGATTTTATTCGAGTGTCTATTCTTAGCTCATCCACGTGCACAAGGAAAGTTTCCCAACCTCTAGCTCCTTGTTAAACTGTGATTCATCTAAACGAACCATGGCAATCCATTCCTATTGCCCACGACTGGCTTAGGAGTGAACATATGATCCAGCCGTGGCCAAAGACAGGTATGAAGTCCTCTGAGGGCCATCCGGAGAAAGCTTTCTCACTGAAAAAGAGTCGCACATAAGGAAGCAGCTGGATTTTGTCCTAAGTGAATGTTGACTAAAACTTTAGCAGCCAGCCTCCTGGTGACCTCAAAGGGAACTGGCCAAGGACAAAGCCAACATGGAGAGAATGAAAGCACCAAGAGTAAGGTAGCACAGGTTCTTGATGACACTCTCCAGTCAGTGGATTAACCAATCCCGGAGCAGCTCCATCTCACACCTACTTGTTCTGCGAGACTAAAAACCTCTGAGTGAGGAGGGTTTTCTGCTACTTGTAGCAAAGAGTATCCTGACTGGCATGGCAACCTGCTAGTTTCAGGGAGCGAGGCAGACCTGATGGTTGGAACTAGTGCCCCAGGCCTTGGCTCAGATGCTGATCAATGGAGATACCATCACAGGAACTGGAAATGAAAGAGGAGCATGCGGGTTTCTAGTAGTATCACTAATTCCTTCTGGTCAACAAACACGGTGAACGCATCCTTTAGTAATTCCATACAGGTAGTGAAAGTATGAAGAACAGTAGAGATCACGTACATACAGAGTATAGAAGGGTACAGAGGAGGGGCCCTATTCTGCTGGGGGAGGCGGGACTGGAAGTACCTCCTGGGAGAATGAATGAACAGATGCTACTGCTTAACACAAACTGGCGATCATCTTCTAGTTGGCAAACTGAAACTCAAGAACCTCCCACAACCAGTATTTACAAAGAACATGCCTAACTAACTGTTGAAGCCAACTGTTTTCTCTCCAAGTTGCTTTATTTAAAAACACCCTATTTGAATGGCAATTAGAAGAACAAACTACTTAATCTTTAAGTTTATGAATAGCAATGAGTGATATTACACAACCCCAAAAAAGTTAGACCATTTACTTACCTTTGCATAAGCTTTTCCACCTTTTAATTCCTGCCAAAGATAAAAAACACTATTAAGTTATCACATGATTATGAATTTAAAACACAATATATATCAAATAATTCTAAGTAGACATTTAAATACCAGCAAATATAGATAGCCTAATTCTGATGATCTTAAATCTAACTACTTAGATGCTCCAAATGACCAGAATTTGTATTTAGAATGACCAGAATCGTTATTGAGAATTTAACTTAAATCCGAAAGCAACAAATGGTGAGAAGACAAGCTAATATTTGATCTATTTGCTGAAAAAATTGTCAAAAGCTCTTAGACACATTGCAAGAACCTGAATCACCAAAGAAAGGTTAAATTACTTAGTTACGTGTATTAACACACTGTAGAAAGAGTCAAAGTCATTTCAGTAAGAGTCAAAACCCTAGCCCTGGAGATAACAACTGTTACCAATTTTTAGGAATTGTCCAAAGAGGCTCTATGCATATAGACAGATAGATATTCCCCTTTTACTCAAATGATAGCACACTATATATACCTTATTATTACACTTTACTTTTTAATGTATATATATATATATATATGTATGTGTGTGTGTGTGTGTATAGGTTCCCTGTTATGTAATGTGAACAAGACTGGCAAAAGTGAAAAAGAATAAAAAATAATATATACCTAAGATTCATTTAAAATATGAAGCTGTATATTAATTTGCCGAGTCTCTGGATTTAGGAAATCACACATGTGTGAGAATAAGTGTCAAATACTCGGAACTATGCCTAACACGCAATAAACACTGTTTGTGTATATGTACAATTAGGGCCAAACTCCTCTCTACCCCCCACCCCCGCACTTTTAAATAATGCATTTGCTGGATGGAGTTGGTTTTTATCTTTCTTGCAGAAACAAGATATATAATGTATTATCTACCATTTCCATCTTTAAAGTGGTGAATTTAGATAAGTTCAAGAAGAAACTGATGATAAATTCTATGACTCGTGAATATCTGCTTCCCTGGCCTCCCCTGCCCCACTGGTGGAAGGTGTGGCCATGTTGCTATGTCTAACCCCCTCATGAATTACCAAATTCTTCTTTATTAGGTTATTGTCATATCCCTTAATAGCACTCTTTGCCCATGACCTCCACTTTTGTTAAAACCGAAGCCTGTGTCTTCACCTTAATCACAGCAGCACGTGGCGGGCTTGCCCTCCATCTCCTGGCTCACATCCTTGTCTTCTGACGTCCATGGTGCCCCACTGCCTGGCTCTGCTGCCTCGCTGGCCACTCCTGCCCACTCTCCCCTGACGCACCCACCCCCGTATTCAACTTTGGTAGAAAGAATGCTGCTCGTACCCCAATCACCCATTCTCCCTCTCTGCATCGTAACAGAATCCTCTATTTTTAACTGGACATCTGGCTACCCCAAATAATGTGACGATTACATCCTCTCCCTTCCTTTGTGCTGTGGCAGGGTGACTAAGATCTGGCCAAAGGCATGTGAGAGGTGATGTGGCTGAATGAATCCGTGCCCCTTTCTTGGACCTGATGACAGTTACGTGGACTGTCTCTGGGTGGTAGAAGGATCCAGGATTTGGCCTAAGATCGTTCTCTGCACTTTCTCCCTGGGCGATCCAAGGGATCAAGTCTATGGCTGATCAAGGCTATAGTGATTCAAGTCTATGGCTCTAAATTAAAGAAAAAAAAAAAAGTAACCTGATGACTCTCACATCTCTATCTCTAAGTCTAAACTTCTCCCCTGACTTCCAGACTAGGATTTCTATTAAATGCCCACTTAACATGTCCACTTGATGTCTCACAGACAATGTCAAACTTAGCATGGCCAGAAGAGGGCCTGGCTGATCTGATTATTGTCCCTGCAACTGTTCCACTCTGAGTCTTTGTCATTTCAATAAATAGCATAATCGTCTACCTATTCATTCAGGCAGAAAGGGCATGAGTTAGCCTCAGTTCTTCTTTTTTCCCCCTCATTTGCCACATCCCGGGGTCTCCCTTCAAAACACATCCTGAATTACACCATCTCCCCTGTTACAACCCCATGCCAAAACATGCAGTCCTCACCTAAACTGTCCCCAACACCCGAGTGGTCTCTTTGCAATTCATCCTCTACATGGCAGCAAAAGTGGTCTTAGGAGGCCATGTCTCTCCTCATTAAAATCTTCAAATGGGTTCCAATTACAGTTAGAAAAAATCAAAGCTCCTCACCGTGGCCTGTGAGGCCCTACCTGACCTAGTGCCTCCAACCTCGGCACCAGCAACTTCCCCTTCTCCATGTTTTCCAGGCTGGGCTGGTCTTGTCTTCCATACATGCCAGCTTGGTTGTTTACCCTAAGTGGGGTTCACAGTACTTCTGGATCTGTGGCTGATATTCTTCATCAGTGTAGAAGATTCTCAGCCATGACCTCTCTCTTCTTCTTCTCTCCAACCACATATGTTAGACATTTCCCCCATTTCCCAAATCTGACACTCTTTTCTGTGTATTCCACCCCTTTTCTCCTCTGTGATTTACACTGGATGTTTTCTTCTGTCTCACTTCCCAGTTTACCATTGCTGTTTTTGAGCTGTGGGATCTACCTGTTGAGGTTTAGTTTCGTTTATTTAGCTTTACATTTTCATTATTATTTTTTTCAGTTCTAGAATTCAATCTGCTTCTTTTTAAATAGTTCCTAGTTCTCTAATGAAAGTCCCCACATTGTTCACTAATTATGTTTATTGTAAAAGTTTGTCTCTGGTCTTCCAATATCCTTGGATCTCCTTTTATTATTATTTTCCTTTTGTTGTTCTTGAAAGTTTTTTGAGCATCAAGCCTTAATTGAGTTAACAGTCAGTTCTTTGAAGTCTAAGCTTTAAAAGCTGTCCCTTCATTTATTTCCTCTTTGCACAAATGCTTTTTGCACGCCTGCATTTCCCCGGAGTCAGGGACACAGCATGGACTCTGCTCTCTGGAGCTGTCTCCCTAGTTTTTCCTTTTGATTTTTGGTCATGCACATGTCTCTGGGTATGCTCGGTAATTTCTGTGCATGAAAACTTGAAGAAGTAATTTGAGGTTCAGGGTACATTTGCACCCTGACTGGTGTGGCTCAGTGCACTAGGTGTTGTCCTGTAAACCGAGAGGTGGCCGGTTTGCTTGCCGGTCAGGGCACATGTCTGGGTTGCAGGCCAGGTCCCTGGCTGGGGGCATGCAAGAGGCAACCAATTGATGTTTCTCTCACATACTGATGTTTTTCTCCCTCTGTTTCTCCCTTCCTTCCCTTCTCTCTAAATAAATAAATAAATAAATAAATAAAATATTTTAAAATTACATACACTTGCTTCTGGTAAGTAGTTAAGACAGAGGCAGATCACCTTCACCCAAGGAAGGACTGAGCCGATTAAAGCTGAGTTTGTCTTTATAAGGGCCAATCTACATCCACTCTATTCCTCCTTCTAGGCTGAAACTCTTAGAGAGAGAGTCCCAGTGAAAAGTGTGGGGTATTTTCCACGGGTCCTGGGCTTCCGTTCTTGTCCCTTTAGACGTGTAAAACGGCTGCATGCTCAGTTCAGCTTCTCCCCTTCTCTGTCATTGCTTTTGGCTCAGCTCCTTAACCACTGTGTGCAAATCAGCACATGCTTCGAGGGTGAAAGCAATGCTGACTGTCAGGCTCGACTCTCTGCTCCTGTTGCCTATGATCCTAAGTCCCTACTCCCTGGGGCAGCTTCTGATGCCTTCCAGCAGCTATTTTTAACGCGTCGTCTCGCTTTTCTGGTTGTTCTCAGAGGGAGGGGGTGATGTGGAACAAGCTAGTCCATTAACTTCAGAAGTATAAATCCCCAGGTTTATTACAACCTTCGGGCCAGTTATGAACCAAATTGTAGGTCTCTCCCCCACAAAAGATACACTGAGGTCCTAACACCCAGGACCTCAGCATGCGACCCTCTTTGGAAATAGAGTCTTTGAAGACTAATCTAGTCCGAATGAGGTTCTAATGCAACATGACTAGTGTCCTTATTAAAAGTGGAGACATTTTAATACAGTCACAGACACACACAGAGGGCAGATGACGTGAAGACACAAAGGGAGGAGACAGCTGTGGAACTGGAGAGACGCATCTACAAGCCAGGGGATGCCTGCAGCTGCCAGGAGGCGGGGGGGGGGGGGCGCCGAGGAGTTTCTTCCCCAGCACCTCCAGAGGGAGTTTCTTCCCCAGCACCTCCAGAGGGAGCACAGCCCTGTGCCCCCTGGACTTGAACTTCTGGGCCCCAGGACTGTAAAACGATGCATTTGGGTGGCTTTACTTTTCTGTTCTTACTTATTTTTTAATTTTTAAATTTTCATTGAGTTTATTGGGGTGGCGTTGGCGAATAAACTTATACAGGTTCCAATTCAGGGGAGCAACTCTATGACACATCATCTGTGTACGGACTGTTCGCACCACGTCCCTTCAACCGCCTGCTTTGCGGAGCTTCCTTACAGCGGCTCCAGGAAGCTGACACAGGGAATCTGAACTTGGAGGTCTGGGATGGTCAATTTCATGTGCCAGCTTGACGTTTTAAAACAGGAAAAAAGCACCCCTACTTTCGGCGCCGTCATTAGACATCATACATGTGAGGTTCCTAAAATAATGTCCAACAAAGAGGAAGTTCATGCCCAGCAGGAAGCAGACACATGCAGCCCCCAAAATAACAAACAAGGTGAACACTCATATGCACCACGACAGTGAGACAAGGTTCTCAAACATCTTAATTTATAACCTCAGATTCTCCACCGTATTTGTCAAAAGGTGTTTGAATTTTTGCTGCCGCTGTGAAGCAGAGTTGCCCGTAACAGTTCTGAGGAGGAAGCGGGGCTAAATAAAGAGCATCCGTGACTAGGGGACTAATTATGGCTCCCAACAGGCTATTTTCGTACCTTGCGCACAGACACCCTGTAGACACAAGGATCCAGGATGCCCGTGGCGGCACTGGCGCTCATTTTGCACATGAACGAGAACTTCTTCCTCCAGTGAACACAGTTGGCTTGCACCACCTCCCTGAGGGGGGAGAAAAAGAACCGGTTAACGACCTCTTATTGACAATGTGGTGAAAAAGCACACACACGCTTTCACCCATGCCTATGGTGCAAAAGGGATCTATCGAAAGCCAGTAGTTAGCCCTGGCTGATGTGGCTCAGTGGGAACCCCAAGCCTGTGTCTGTGTGTGGCGTGGACACGGATGTTTAAATACACACAAACAGACACACGAGTGGGAGCTGAGGGCAGGTCTTCTGTCACAGGTTTCACACAGTAACTTTAGCCATTTTATTTTATTTTTCACTAGAAATCTTTAGATGACTTCATAAGTTAGGATGTGAGGAGAATATGTACGTGTCCTGAGGAGCGTTTCCCTTGAAATCCAGCAGGGGGCGACTTCTCTGCAGAGTCACAACACAGGCAGAATGGAAGTCACTCAGCCAAGGATGGATGGGGAGGCACAGTGCGTGACAGGCAGCGGAGGCGTCCCCAGGGAGGTGAGCAAAAACTCCCTGGCACACTCAGAAGTAAACAAACTCTTTAAAAATCGGTGAATAATAATGGCAATCACAAAGAGGAAAAAAAATAATCCAGAAATTTAAAAAAGATTTTATTTATTTATTTTTAGAGAGGGGAAGGGAGGGAGAAAGAGAGAAACATCAATGTGTGGTTGCCTCTTGTGCCCCCCCCCCCCCCCCCCCACTGGGGATCTGGCCTGCAACCCAGGCATGTGCTCTGACTGAGAATCGAAAGCCAAAAATTTAAAAACTATTGCTTCTCTTTCAACCTCCCTTGGCCTCTAGACCCAAGGGCGGCCTCAGCCGGGGCCTCTGCAGCTTGAATGCCAGTGGGCTTGGGGGGCCTTGGAGGAGCAGGCCGAGCTTCAAGGCACTCGGTTGTCCCTGTCACTCAGACCACCGACGTGAGATTGGGAATCAAAGACAACATTCCAACTTTTCCAAAAAAGCACATATGAACTTCTAGTTAAAGATGGCAGGATGAGGGCTTCCTCCTCAAAACATTCTGTTTAATTTTTAGCGCATGATTTTGCCAGGACGGAGATACCCAGAGGGAAGACAAAAATAAGTAGCCGGGGATGGACAAGGGAGAACTGATGGGGCAAGCCACAGGGTGGCGGACCCTGAGCCGCGGTGAAAGACAAGGGCAGGGTCTCCAGGTGGAATGAAGGGGGACCAAAGGGCAGAAGCAACGACTGAACACTGTTGTGGAAACAACTCCCAGATCCTCTCCCTGACCCTGTCCAGAGACTGGGCCTGCTCCTTCTGAGAGTAAAGCAGAAGGACCTGTGCAGGACCTAATGGGCTGGGGGGGTGGGGAGGTTTGGGGTGGAGCTAGGGAGGAAGGGGTGGGGCTAGGGAGGAAGGGGGTGGAGCTAGGGGAGGAAGGGGGTGGAGGATGCAGGAGGACTTACTCAGCCCTGAGACCTCCAACCTTCTTCCCCTACCAGGATTCCACGGACTGTGTTCTTCACGATGTGGGAAGAACATTCTCTGGGGCATCTGACCCGCCCCCCAAAGAAAAGATCTAAGGAGATGGGCGTTAAGGGTTCCCAGAAAAACGGCTCAACCAGCTCAGTCTACAGTGAAAACCTGAGTCAGAAACATTCTCCACATGGGCAGAGCTTCTAAGGAACTTTTAGAGCCTTGTAATTACATAGGAGGAAAGGCTCTTAACATGAAAGACAGACTGAAACAGCGAAAGCATCTGTAACAACACGGAGTCTCTGCCAGGAGAAGAAAAGAGACTCAGGGAGGCAGAAATGGCTGTTTCATTTAACAGAAGGGAGGAAATAGTAAAGATGACAGTAGACATCAATCAAATAGAGAACAGAAAAACAACAGAAAAAAAACCCCAACAAACCCTGAGCTAGACTAAGACAAAGAAAAAGAGAAGACAAAAATCACAAATGAAAGAGGAGACATTGCAATGAATGCCTCAGAAATAAACAGAACTTTAAGGGACTATGATGAGCAATTGTATGCCAACAAATTAAACAAGCTAGAAAAAAATCAATAGTTCCTAGAAACATACGACTTACCAAGAATGAATCTAAAGTAGTCAAACCCACAGAAGCATAGGGTAGGCTGGTGGTTGCCAAGGGCTGGGAGGTGGGAGAAGTGGGGGACGGTGTGGATCCGAGGGTACAAAATTCGGATATGCAAATGAGCCAGTTCTGGAGGTCTAATGTGCTGCGTGGTGAACTTAGTTAACAACGGTGTATTGTACACTTGAAATTTGCTCGGAGAGTGGATCTTAAGTGTTCCAGGAAAAATAAAGGTAAACTATGTGAGGTGATGGATGTTTGTTTTCTTTTTAAAGATTTTATTTATTATTTTTCAGAGGGGTAAGAGAAGGAGAGAAACATCAATGTGTGGTTGCCTCTCATGCGCCCCCTACTGGGGACCTGGCCTGCGACCCAGGCATGTACCCTGACTGGGAATCGAACCGGTGACCCTCTGGTTCGCAGGCCTGTGCTCAATCCACTGAGCCACACCAGCCAGGGTGTGATGGATGTTAAGCAGCTTGATTGTGGTGGTCATTTCACAATGAATATATGTATATCAAAACATCCAGTTATATGCTTTAAATATATACAATTAATTTGCCAATTATTCCTCAGGAGAGCTAAAAATATAAAATAAAATTAATGTATTGATGAAATGCTCTGGAACCTATTGTGCGTATTTTGCATAACCTGCATAGCCCCGCCCAATGAAGGCCTGAGGAAGCTCAGATCCAGCTGGGGGTTAGAACACTGCGCAGATGCATCGATGCTCAGTGCCTCCCAGGTAGGGGCTCCGGAGTGGGTTCTTACGTGAGAGTGGGAAAGTCTAGCAAGCCAAGGGATCAGGTGGGAATGAATGGGGGCTATGGATCGTGTCCACTCATTAACTTACGAGGCCGCACAACGAAGGATCCTCACTGGGGGTGATGAAGGCAGAAAATAAGAGCCCAGCAAATGCCCCGGACAGTACTTTGCCAAAGACAGCCAACACTCAATAAAACTTGTTACTGGATGCAGAAGTGCCATGCATGGGCCACATGTGAACAGTCCCAGCTGCCGAGTCTTGCCTGTTACTTCACCCCCACCCCTACCCTCACTCAGTCCTTCCACAGATCTTCTCTGAAGTATGGCCACAGCCTCCTAAATGATCCTCGAGCCAACCTACCTTCCTCACTGTGCCGGAGAGCTCCTTCTAAAATACGAATCTGAGATGTCGCTCCTCTGTGTAAAATCCTGCACTGCTTCCCTGTATCTGGGAGGATGGGGTCCCAGCTCCTTCACCACGAGGCCCCTGCTCAGCCTTCGGTCCTGACCCCTCCTGTCTCATGCTGCTGGCCACTGCCCCCTTACGTCACACTAGTTCTCACCTGTCCACCTTTGTTCATGTTCTCTTTCCCCTGAACACCCTCTACTCTCCCCTTCAACTTCCCTTATTCACCAGTTTAACTTGAACTCCTTTCCTTTCATCGTTACCTCCCCTAAGGGTCTTTCTCAACTCGGCCTGCAGTGGAAAGCCTGGTGTGCTGTGTGGCGCAGCTACCCCAAGAAGCTCGGTGCCTGCCAGTCCCTGTCTCAGAACTCTGTCCCCAGGGAAGGGCTGGCAAGAACTGGCTGACTTGGCTTCCTCTGTCATTCTGGAAGTCCTCGTCCCCAGCACAAGGTCCTAATGTCCTTTTCCCTGCATTGTCTGTGGCAGATTCTCCTATGATTCCACACATACAGGGGTGGGCAAAAGCAGGTTTACAGTCGTTCATGTGGCAAATGATACAATAATGAATAAATGGCGATACAAGAATAAACTGTTTCATGTATTCACAACTGTAAACCTGCTTTTGCTCACCCCTGTATATTTCAAACGAACCAATAATGTAAATGAACTTTAAAAATTTATCAACTTAAATCATTGTTGACGATGGCCTTCAGAAATAGAAATAAGTACTAATAGATATGTTAACTTAAATAATCTTTTAGGTTTTGTAGTATCAAAATAATAGCCCTGGAGTCTTCAGCAATTTCAGTAAATAAAAAATATTTTGGTGCCTATGGCAATCACTCAGAAATTTTTTGTGATAAGAAAATCTTCAGTGGGTGCGTGTACACACACACAGCTGTTAGAAGGCTGTCCAAACTACACAAATAAAAAAAAAGTGGCAAAGTTAGTTTGTGACAATTTGTTATACTGACAGGTTACCATGGAAACAAACAGACTACTTGGCAACCGAGACAAAAGGCACATTAGTAAATGCTTTCCACTATATGAGTCATCAATTTCCTATGAGTTTTACACAGTTGCTTAACCACTTTCAAGAAAGAAAGCAACACAATATGATCTGTGAGGATTCTGTGGAAAGCCAAGTATTCTCAAGACAAAATGATCAAGATGCTGACTGTGAACTTCATAAGCAGAGGATTGAAAAGAACATAAAGGCAGCTATGGCTGTTTGTGCCTCAAAAGAATAAAGGAAAATCTACACATTCTTTAAAAAAATGAAATATAAAATACAATACAAATTATGGATCTGTTTTTGTGACTACTTAGTTATTGTACTAGTAAACTGTGGTACTTAATATTCTGAGAATAACCTGCATATGTATATTCAAGGCACCTATTTAAAATCGTGCCATGTGTTGGTAATTCGAAGTATTTTTAAGTTTTCAGAAATGGTGACACAGCTCTGGCTGGTGTGGCTCAGTGGACTGAGTGTTGGCCTGTGAACCAAGGGGTCGCCGGTTTGGTTCCCAGTCAGGGCACATGCCTGGGTTGCAGGTCAGGACCCCGGTTGGGGGCACACGAGAGGTAACCACACATTGATGTTTCTCTCCCTCTCTTCCCTCCCTTCCCCACCCTAAAAATAAGTAAATAAAATCTTTTAAAAAATGGTGATACAAACAAACAAACAAGCAAACAAACAAACTGCTGTCAGGAATGGAAGCTGTTTTGCCAGACAATATCATTGCCAGGAGTTAGGAGCTCGTACCCAGATCCGGTCTGTTG